CATCAGCTTCCCTTTCCACGGCATCTGCTCGATCGCTGACGTAGACAAACCGTCGCTGGGTCTCCGCCGGGTCCTGCGGGAACAGATAGGTGCGACGGTGGAGGGGAGGCTTGTTAGAGTGTGGGACCTGGTCAAACTTTCTCAACGCTTCATCTCCCGTGAAATCTGCTCGATCACTGATGTGAACAGCCCGCTGCTCGGTCGCCATTGGTTCCTGAGGAAACAGATGGTGTGGAGATGGAAGGTTGCTGAAATGCAATATCTGATATAATCCACCCCAGCTTCATCTCCCATGATATCTGCTCGATCGCTGACGTGAACAGGCCGCTGCTAGGTCTCCGTTAACGTCTGAGGAAACAGAAAGGTGGGTGAATAAGAAGCTTGTCTAATGGTTCCCTCTGATAACCCTAGTTACTGATTAGCGATCCGGGAAATTGCAGAGGATTGCAAACCAGAATGGATAATTCGATTCCGCATAAATGCCTAACTCGCAAAAGCTTCTCCAATCCCCCTTCGGGTCTGTTCAATTATCACCTTCGGTCGGACCCCGGCTCTGACTCGCCGCGAGGGAGTGATGAGCTCCTCGCCCTCTCCTCCCCATTTCCCGGTGTCGATTCTAGGCTCGCCATCGTCGCCCCTGTACAATCCGTAATGAGTCCTTTATACCCGAGGTCGTATTACAAGCCTCGCGATCTTTCTGATTGGAGCTATCATGTCAACGAGACGTCAGGAACCTGGTCTGGGCTCACTGCGGACCAGATTTCGACAGGCGAAGAGATGATTTTAAAACCCAGGGTCCACAGGTTTCAAAGGTAGGAAGGTTGGTTGGACTTAGTGACAAAACCAAAGGTAGGAAGCTTGGTTGGACTTTGTGACCCAACCAAAGGTAGGAAGGATGAGGCAACTTCGGGATACTTGAGACTCCGGTTTTAAGAGCCCGTATGGAGAGGATATATTTAGGGCTTGCAGCGGTCGGAACAGAATCAAGTGATACTTGGGAGAGGACAGACTAACCGCTCCGGAACGTCGATACCTTCGTATTGCAACTACGATGCCGTTAGCTGACTGAAGTCTGGGCCTCGATAACAGACCAAGTCTAGGCGGGAGCTACAAAAAAAAAAAGCCTTCGGTTCAGTACGGTGCTGGACGATTTGAAACTATTATCTGGACGTCTGAAGCGGTTGTGATGGACCAAATGAAACATTTGGGATCGCACACCCAAAAAGTGCACAGGGAGCTCCACAATTGTGGGACAGGGCGGGTCACAGCGGCGACGATCCCGAGATGGAGACTCTTGCCTTGAACCAGATCGAATGGCTGGAATTCATCAGATGGGTGGAGTTCCTTAGGCGCACAGAGTAATGGCTCCTGCTTCGGTTTCGTGAATTGTGAATTGGGTGCTTCCTGCACTTGGCTGGTCACAGAAATAATTGTCGGTGACTCGGCAAAGTCAAACTGGTTCTGTTCAGGAGGATAGTTGTCCGGTTAACTCGTGAAGGTAGAAAGCACAAGGAGTTTAACATCGCTAGAAAAAGCTTAGCAGTTTGGTGTACAAAAGGCGCAAGCACTCCTCTTTTCCTTCTTCAACGGCGACACGATTCAACTCTGAGTTCCCTTCTGCGTTTAGGGTTAGTGAACTCTGAAACCCTCGCACTTATGGACGTTCACGATATTTCCCTCGCCATGCAGGCTTCACTTCAGCTCGCGAACCGCGTTTCTGGTCCTCCACGTCTGCAAGTTGCAGCCATTAAAGGCGCCAAAGTTGCCTCGTAGAGGAAGTGGCACAGCCACTAGTATCAGCATTAATAAATATATAACGTACAGCGCAGTTCACTTAGAAAGCTTCAGGTGGAGAGTTGGACAAAGAGAGTCCTAATTTCCATAGGCCGAGTTCCACAATATAAGTGGAATTATCAATGTCACGGCCCTGTTATAGCCTCCCACATCCACACCTCCTTCACTTTCATCGAGCTGCCACGTTAAAGGGGGTCGCATGCTTGAGCGTTCTTGGTTTGCCATGAGACTTAGCTCAGTCACCTTCAGAACCTGGGGTAGAGACAACAAGAAAAACAACACAATGGTACGATGGTTGCATGTTGTGAAGATAAAGAACACAGACGAGGGTGACGTGTAAATCGTACAACAATGACATTACACTCGCGAATGGAAAATGGCAAGTCCTTTACCACAGCAAGGCAGCCCACCTCTCGACCGGCAAAGAGCTGCCGGAGTTTCACTGCTGCGAGCCGAGAAAACACTGGGTGCTCTTGAGCCTGTGGGAGTAAGTTGTATGTTCGCCAGGAGGGAGAGAGCGGGGGAGGGAGTGTGGATGTGATGGGTGAGGAAGCAAGGAGAGGTTGGAGGGGGGATGGACTCGCCTTGCAAAGGCACTAACATTATAACACAATCGAATATTCAGGATGTGTATCAGCGAGGGCTGACTGAAGTGCCACATGGTATGCTCCTAGAGTACCCTTCACATACCTCGTACAGGTGAGCCAGTCGCAGGAGAATTGCTCCTGGTGATACCTCCTGTTGGACGAACACGGTGGGCGGCGAAGATGGGAGCAGGACAAAAACACACACAACACACAAACAGAACTGTAACATACACGGTGTATTGGGAGCGAGCTAGGAACAGCATGGACGGAAGGATATAAATTCTGGCAGAGGATGTCTACTGGATATTATTAGCAACTTAAGCTATTATTCTCATCAAGTGTACCTCCAATGTCGTTATAGCCACATTTCGAGGCAGCTGGTAGCTAGCTGAGGGTGCTGCCGCCTATCCCTCTGGTGCTGCCACGTGTCCCTGCCCTTGCCACCTCCTGCTGAGCGCTCTGGAAGAGGGAGTGGCGCCACAAGAACCCCCGTCGCTCCTGTGCTGTCAGCAGCAGGTTCAGCAGATGTGCCAGAAACGTCGGTTGCAGCAGGGTCTGGAGTGTCAGCTGCAGCAGATGGCAGCAGCAGCTGCTGCTTTCTGCTGCCTCTGCTGCGTCCGCTGCTTCTGTTTCTGCTGCTGCCAGATCCTCAGTCGACTGAAGAGACGAAGGAAATTGAGAAGAGAGAAGAAGCGCATGAGGAGGGAGTGTGGAGGAGAGCAACAGGCAGAGGAGGTGGACACAGCAGTAAGTGAGTGTGAACCCTCCGCCCTCACCTCCCTCCCACTGCATACGCTGCCCTGCACACACACACACACACACACACACACACACACACACACACACACACACACACACACACACACCACACACACACACACACACATCCCCCCCTTCTCCCCTATCCCTTGCCCTCCCCTTCCCAACCACACAAACCTCAATCTCTCACCTAGACAGAGAAAACGCTGCAGGGGAGAGAGCAGGCACTGAGTGTGGTCGCCTGATGCCTGCTGTGACATGTGAGTCAACTCAGAAGCCATCCCTCACCTCCTTTGAGTCGACTCAGAAGAGATCTCTCACCTGTTTTCGAGTGGACTAACAGCCCATTTCTCACCTCGACAGCGAAAGCTAGCTGCAGAGGGGGACAGCATCCGCTGGCTGTGGTCTCTCCACCAGAAAGCCCCCGCTGCCGCCCCGCCTGATACTTGCTGCGACCTTTGAGCCAACTCAGGAGTCATTGCTCACCTCGACAGCAAAAGCGAGCTGCAGCGGGGACAGCATCCTCTGGGAGTGATCTCTCCGCCAGAAGGCCCCTGCTGCTGCCCCGCCTGATGCCTGCTGTGGGGGTGTGCCTGGCCGTGCCCGTGTGTCTGGCAGCACTGCGAAGCGGAGTGATCCCACCACCTGGACGCCCAAGGGAGGGAAGTGACTTGGGCTCCGGTTTACAGGCAAAGAAACAATGTTTGACTCGACTCAAAAGGTGACCATCACCGCGAAAGGTGACCTCAAAAAGAGAGAACGATGTCGATCAGCGTCCAATGTTCAGAATTTGCGCTTAAATGCCAATTGATTTTTTGTTATATAGGCGCATTAGAACTTACGACAATGGTGGTAAGCATTTATCCTCCACACAGACATCTTCGTTTAACGGCTCTCCAACTCCCTTGTTGTCCACCGTATCCAAGCGGCTGGAAATTGGATAGCGGGATAAAAATATATATATTTAAAAACGACAAGCATTACAAAAGTTGCACGTATCACAGCAGAGGCCATTTTGACTGCAATTTAAACAGTTGACCCAGGCTGAAAATCAGGCCTCTGCTACAGGCGCTTAACCTTGCAGCATGAGTTGGGGACCTACGCTGAAACAATGCCGCTAGTACGCCGATACTTCAGGGGCTCACCGGTGCAGCGTGAAGCTCACCGGTGCAGCGTGAAGCTCACCGGTGCAGCGTGAAGCTCACCGGTTTGCAGCGTGAAGCTCATCAGTGCGGTGTGAAGATCACAGGTGCAGCATGAGTTGAGTTGTAGGCTCACCGGTGCAGCATGAGTTGAGTTGTAGGCTCACCGGTGCAGCATGAGTTGAGTTGTAGGCTCACCGGTGCAGCATGACTTCGAGCTGTCCGGCTGCCAGGCTGGCAGCACCGGCTGCTCGGTCCACCAGCAGCGACAGCTGTGCCTCGCCATCCCCGATGAACGCGCCCACCGTCACCTGCGGGAGGGATGGGGGTGATGGATGGGAGAGGGGTGGGAATGAGGTGAGAGAGGGGCGGGAGTGAGGGGTGGGAGTGAGGGGTGGGAGAGGGGGGAGAGTGAGGAAGCAATAAGGACTTCTGATGTGCCTTGGGGGGAGAAGATGCAATAAGAACTCACTGGGTAGAAGTTCCCTGCTATGGGGTCTTTGACTGAGCAGAATTTGGAGCTCAATACTGGCGTGAGTTGTTTGAGAGAGGACCTTACTTCTGAGCATTTGTGTAAGTGAGTTACTCACGGGGTAGAAGTTCCCTGCTATGGGCTCCTTGACTGTGAGGGTCCCAGTCAGGGCGAGAGTTCACGAACCTGCAGGACAGCACGGTAGGTGGGAGCGAAAGTGAGAAGAGGTGTAGGGGGCGGGAGAGGTGTAGGGAGGGGGAGAGGTGTAGGGAGGGGGAGTGATGGGCAAACGGCAGAGAGCAGGTCAGGGGAGAGCCAAAACCAAGAGGATGATACTCTTTTAGAAGAGAAGTGAACAGAGGCTGTACAAGCTACAGAGGAAAGGCATACTTTGATATATTTGACCTGTTCATATCCTACCAATCCGCTCTATGATATATCCTCCATATAAGCTCACTCGTTTGAGGTAGTCACGGCCGTTGGAGTCCGTGTGAAAGATATCGCCGCTCTGAATGGAAGAGGAGAAAGAGGCAACGACCTCTTTCCCCAGGGACCCATCCTCAACGAGGGGGCCTATGGAGTAGCCAAGCTCGGCGTAATTCTCCCCCGGGTAAACTCGATACACCTGCAGGGGAGACACGACACAAAGTGAAAAAGGTATGACGCGAGCACCCAAGTTCCATTTAGTTCTTTCTAGACTATGTACGATGCATACGCAAGGAAGACGACATATCAGTTGGTTAAGAGGCACTCAGAGACGCACACCCCCAATCCAAGGAACTCAAGCCCTCCGCAATCCTTCCCCGGACACCCCCCGTGTATCTGCAGAAACGGCAAGACATTGGACTGGTGAAGAATACACGAAAACAATCCCAGAGCACCCGAGCCGAGCGGTGCACAGTTCTCTCTAGAGAACCTCGGAGCCAGAGCACCTTAGAGGCAGAGAACCTTAGAGGCAGAGAACCTTAGAGGCAGAGCACCTTAGAGGCAGAGCACCTTAGAGGCAGAGCACCTTAGAGGCAGAGCACCTTAGAGGCAGAGCACGTCTATTCACCGCATCGCCTCACCTCGGACACGTCACGCGCCACCTGGCGGTGAAACTCCTCCACGATGGGCCCTCGCAGCACGCGGATCGGCACCCTCTGCTTCCTGCGGAACGGCAGCGCACCGTCTGCTGTGGGCTTGAAGATGTATGCTCCTGACTGGAGGGGTGGGGTGGGGGGGAGAGTAGGGGATGCAAAAACAGGGGGGTGTTGAAATATGTGCAGAGTGGATTGTGATGGGGACTGGAAATAAGAGGTGAGGAGAAAGTAAGGAGGTGCAAGTGATGTGATAAACAGAAGGCGGATAGCAGGAAAGTGAGGGAACAGTGGCATGCATGCAACAGCAGGAATTAACACGGAAAATGAGGCATGAGCGCATAGGAGGTGGGGGGCAACTGAGGTGGAGGAGGTGGGCGGGCAACTGACAAGTGACAACTGACAACGGACAACTGAAAACGGACAAGTGGAGGGGGACAACTGACCTCTGCAGATGAGTAAAAGAGCATTTCGCTGCTGATGTTGGCTGCTGCTAGCTGATAGCACCGCAGCATCAACCGGGGCATAGGAAAGCAAAGGAGAGAGGGCACAGGGAGAAGAAAAACAATGTATTGCCGGCAAGAGTGAAAGTTGCAACACATTGGATTCTAAAGTTGCAATGGCATGTCACATGGAAGGGGCATCGCAGGTGGAAGGGGCATGGCACATGTAAGGGGCATAAGGGGCATGGCACATGTAAGGGGCATGGCACATGTAAGGGGCATGGCACAAGGAAAGACATGGCACAAGGAATGACATGGCACAAGGAAAGACATGGCACAAGGAATGACATGGCACAAGGAATGACATGGCACAAGGAATTACATGGCACAAGGAATGACATGGCACAAGGAATGACATGGCACAAGGAATGACATGGCACAAGGAATATCATGGCACAAGGAATGACATGGCACAAAGAATGACATGGCACAAGGAATGACATGGCACAAGGAATGACATGGCACAAGGAATGACATGGCACAAGGAATGACATGGCACAAGGAATGACATGGCACAAGGAATGACATGGCACAAGGAATGACATGGCACAAGGAATGACATGGCACAAGGAATGACATGGCACAAGGAATGACATGGCACACATACCGTGGCAAAGGCCTTGCCATTCGGCTTGATGAGCTCAGCACGTGTCATTCCACGAGCAGCCTTGGAGAAATAGACACGCGCTGCCGGCCGACCAGCCACCACCCCCCCAAGAACTATCTCATCCTCCTGACCCACACCATCACCCACCTCCTCCTCCTCCTCCTCTCCCTCCCCCGCCTCCCCTCCTTCCTCCCCTCCAGCATAGCCCTCCTCCCCTTTTGCCTCAACCCCTTCCTCCTGCCCCTCCTCATACCCTTCCTCTTCTGCCTCCCCTTCCTCCCCTCCCTCCCCTCCTTCCGCTCCCTCCTCATAGTCATCCTTCTTTGCCTTCTTCTTTTTCTTCTTCCCCTTCTTGCTCCTCGTGTTCCGTCCCCTCTGCTTCTTTGGTCCCAAGATCCAGTCACTGCTGCTCACTGCTGCCCCCACAGCTCCTGAAAAGGGGAGAATTTGAGAGAAGCATTGTAACAAGAGGTGAGAGGTTCAGAAATCAAAGATACCCACCTCTGAGAAAGCTCAGCGAATGGCATACCTGGCTGGGCTGCAATGAGGAACAAAGTGGAATACCACAGCACGGAACACCACTGATATCACCCCCTGTTGCTTCTCGGGAGGAGGTGCGCTGGCGCCTGCATGCGGTTCTGCGTAGACCGCACAGATGACCCACTCTTCACAAAAAAAAAAAAAAAAAAGTCAAACCTGGCTGGGCTGCAGTGAGGAAGAATGTGGAGTAGCCCAAAGGAGGCACCTCAGCACGGAACACCACTGACATCACCCCCTGCTGCTGCTCCACTGGAGGCACACTGGCGCCTGCATGTGCTGCTGCGTAGAACGCGCGGATGACTGGACGAGGGAGGAGCTCTGGGATGAGCTGTGATGGGATGGGCTGGTGTGTTGAGTCTGTGACAATGACCGAGGGAGCGGAGACCTGATGGCAGGGGGTGGTGGGTAGGGCGACAGGAGGGAGAGGGAAGAGTGGTGGGGAGAAGGGGAGAGCGGCAGGAGGGGGGAGAAAGGGAGAGCGGCAGGAGAGGGGAGTAAGGGAGAGCGGAAGGAGGGGGAAGAAAGGAAGAATGGAGGGGAGGGGGGCATGCTTGGGTCAGCAGTAGCGGATGGTTGCATGAAAGAAAAGTGAGGGATGAGGTGTAATAGCACAGAATGGTGGGTACAGTTGGTGGGGATGATAGAGGGAGTGGAGTGGAGAGCAGAGACCGGATGGCGGGAGGGGCGGGAGGAAGGAGGCGGTGCTGAAAGAAGGAGACCAGGGGGGATGTGGGATGGGAGGGGGAGGGGAAGAGAATGATACTGGGAACGGGTGGGAGGGTGCGAGGACCAGTGGAGCACATAGTGAGTTAAAATTCGAAAGCAGGTGATTTGCGGAAATCAGAGCAAAAACAGGTAAGGGCTCATTGCTTGAATATCACCTGCTGAAACCCAAAAGGATGCTGGAGAGAGGAGCTTACTGGAATGCGGATGACTTCAGTGCGGGCCCAGGCAAGAGAATTGAAGGCTACAACTACCTGATCCAAGGGAGGGATGGAGGGGAGTGGTTTTGGGATGGGACGAGCGGTGATGGGATGGCATGGCATGGCAGTGCGCTGTCAGCTGAATGAGCATCTGCTGGTGAAGCAGAGTTAACAGTCACAATCCTCCTAATGAACAACACGCCACATGCACAACGCACCAGAAGACGTGGTGGGACTCACCAGAGGGTCAATTAGCTAGGGGGTCAACTTACAACGGGTCCAAGTTACCAGGAAGATTGACTGATTGAGGACTCACCAGCATCTTGCCGGGTGCAAGACCAGACTGCGATGGAGGGCAGAAGGAGATGTTCAGCAGAGGGCACTGCAGGGAGGACGCGAGGGGGAGAGAAGGACGAGGGGCTTCTGAGAATTCTCAAAAGTGACTCTCCGTGATCAAAGCCAGAATGCGATGGAGGGCCGAAGGAGATGTTCAGCAGAGGGCACTGCAGGGAGGACGCGAGGGGGAGAGAAGGACGAGGGGCTTCTGAGAATTCTCAAAAGTGACTCTTTTTTATCAAAGCCAGAATGCGATGGAGGGCAGAAGGAGATGTTCAGCAGAGGGCACTGCAGGGAGCAGGAAGGGAGTAGGAAGGGGAATTCTCTGTTGAAACATGCACAAGTTTAAAGCGGAAGTTTCCAGACACACAAGTTTAAAGCGGAAGTTTCCAGACACACAAGTTTAAAGCGGAAGTTTCCAGACACACAAGTTTAAAGCGGAAGTTTCCAGACACACAAGTTTAAAGCGGAAGTTTCCAGACACACAAGTTTAAAGCGGAAGTTTCCAGACACACAAGTTTAAAGCGGAAGTTTCCAGACACACAAGTTTAAAGCGGAAGTTTCCAGACACACAAGTTTAAAGCGGAAGTTTCCAGACATCTGGGAGAGATGACAAGGAAAACAGTCCCATCAAGGGTGTAAGAGCTGCTGAAAACATGCAGCTCTTCATCAAGAAATAGGCTCTTCACCATACCAATCTCTTCTATCACCAATCTCTTCTATCACCAATCTCTTCCATCACCAATCTCTTCCATCACCAATCTCTGCCATCACCAATCTCTTCCATCACCAATCTCTTCCATCACCAATCTCTTCTATCACCAATCCTCCCACCAACCACACTTCAATCCCCACTCACCGTCTCGAGCAGCAGCTTCGGCTTCTCCTGCAGCCGCCTCCCCCTGTTGATACCTTCCTCCTGCAATGAGCCCTGTGTTTCAAGAGGAGCTCGATGTGGTGTTGCGCTGGTGTTTGCAGGCACAGCCGCATCTGGGGCAGCAGGCTCGTCACCACCAGCAGCAGTATCCGCACCAGCAGTGGCAGGTTCCTGGGGAGTGACACTAGGAGCAGTGGCAGCGGCGGCGGCGGCTGCGGCGGTGGCAGCAGCACCGGTGCCAGCTGCAGCAGGTCTATTGGCGGGAGTGGCAGCAGGCGCCGCACGGTTGGGACCTGGTGCAGAGGAGTTGGTGCCGGTGGGAGGCGAGGGAGGAAGAGGAGGCGGCGGGTGCAGAATGAGGTATGCCAGAGCGCTGGTGAGAACAGTGGAGGCCTGGCGTGGGGAGAGGAGGGCAGGTGAGGGAAAAACAGAGTCAGAGCTTCAGGCTGGGGAAAAGAGGAGGAACAGGAGAAACAAGGTGGGGGAACAAGTGAGGGAAAACTGTGGAAAAGGGGTTCAGGGATATGCATAGTGTGCGATTCCTTGGTCTGAGTGCGCTTACCACCAAACAACCTCCCAGTTCCTCACCTCCTGTGCTGCTCTGTCATCTCAGCCCCCTTCTCCCACTCCTTCCAACACCTCCAACCTCCCAGTTTCTCACCTCCTGTGCTGCTCGGTGCAGGCGGAGTGTGTAGTCGTCATTCACGTGCTGCTGGGCCGTGCCTGTGATGGCATCGTGGTGCTGTACCACTGCCACTGCCTCCCCCAGCAATGCTGTCGACGCGGCCTGAGCCTCCCGACTCCCAGCACCAGTAACACCACCATTACTATCCCCACCACCACCACCACCGGCACCAGTAGCAGCAGCAGACCCGTATCCTGCACCAGCATTGCTGTCACCGCCGCCACTCCCACCCTCTCCAGTTGCCACACTAGGCGCCTCCGAGGGATGGAAACTCATGACCATCATTCGGCCAGCGCCAGAGCCCACAAGGTTCATCCCGTCAGTGTCGCCTCCCCATGCTTGCAGGGACTCTCGCCCCACTGCTGCTTCGAGAATGCTTGCTGCCAGCAGCAGTGTGCTGCAGGAGCGCACGTAGCGCTTGAAGGCTGGGCGGGAGGAGTAGAAGCCGGTCCAGTAGGCGTGCGGTGCGTCAGCGTAGCTGCATGGGAGTGGAGGAAAGAACGGGAGGTGGGGGAGAAAAGGATGCGAAGGAGGAGGCGGACGAGTCTCATCAGCATGCTGCGTTGCGTCAAGAGCAGGCTGCAATAGCATCAGCATTGCGGTGCAACTCACGGGAAGAAGTCGCCAGTCTTGACCGGCCAGGTCTCCTCAGCTTGCTGCTTGGCGTCCAGATAGATTGAAGGCGTGGAGTAGAGGGCGTTGACCCGACCGTCCTGGCAGGGGTGAGGGGGTGGATGAACATACGTTGCACACGTTGCACGAGAGGATGGGCCTTTTTGAGTTGAATCAAGCCCCTCACAGCCCCCCCAAAAGGCGTCGACTCCCCTCACAGCCCCCCCAAAAGGCGTCGACTCCCCTCACAGCCCCCCCAAAAGGCGTCGACTCCCCTCACAGCCCCCCCAAAAAGCGTCGACTCCCCTCACAGCCCCCCCAAAAAGCGTCGACTCCCCTCACAGCCCCCCCAAAAAGCGCCGAATCCCCTCACAGCCCCCCCAAAAAGCGTCGACTCCCCTCACAGCCCCCCCAAAAAGCGTCGACTACCCTCACAGCCCCCCCAAAAAGCGTCGACTCCCCTCACAGCCCCCCCAAAAAGCGTCGACTACCCTCACAGCCCCCCCAAAAAGCGTCGACTCCCCTCACAGCCCCTCCAAAAAGCGTCGACTCCCCTCACAGCCCCCCCAAAAAGCGTCGACCACATGGAGCGATACCATACATACCATACCACGTCGCACCACACCACACCATGCCACACCGTGCCACGCCGACTGACCAGGTTGACGTAGTGAATGAGCTTGTCCATGTTCTTGAACCACATGATGGCGTTGGAGTAGGCAAAGTCCTTCCCCATGGTGAACATCACGTGGTTCGACCGTGTCACCTTCGCCTATTACAGCCAAGACAGGGGGTAAGAGCGGCAGAGACACAAGGAAGGAGGGCAGTTCGACAAGGGTTTCACAGGATGGCGTTGGATTAGGCAAAGTCCTTCCCCATGGTGAACATCACGTGGTTCGCCCGCATCACGTTTGCCTGCACAGGAGGGGTGCAGATAGGAACCGGGAAGAAGCACATTCTGACAAGGGCTGTCCTGTTGCTGCTATGAGGATTGATATAGTTGGTTGGAACAAGCATGGACAAGTCTATCAAGGATGCACATGCGCAGTGCAGCATCTGACAGGAGTCGCTTTATGCACGAGCATCAGTCATACCTGCTCCCAAGCTCGCTGAACGAACAGGTCGACAAGCTTCCGGACGTTTGACTCCCCTGATTGCGGATCATCCTGTAACGAGGATATAGGAGGTCCAGGAAGGGACCAAAGCTTAGAGCTGGCGGACAGGATCATCACACGAGGATTTTGCTGTTGCCGAAGTGCAGGAGAAATTGGGGAAACTGAAAGAAAGGCGTGTTAGCATGTGCCTTTGCCTGACACGTGCCCCACACATACCCCATACATTCCCCACACATGCCCCACACATGCCCGGCATGTGCTCTGTCTTACCTGGACAAAAGGTGGGAAATTTATGTCCTCACAATCAAGGCCAGGGGGGGGATCATACATCCAGTAGAGGTGCCCACCAAACACCTGGTCAAGACAGACGGGTTGTAAAACATTTCAGGAGAAGATCGCAAGCTCAAGAGGAATATGGTGTGACAACAGCAGGCCCTGCAAGGATGTGACGTAAACCCCGAGTTTACAAGGGAGTGCTAACCTGGGCCGATTTCCCAAATGTTTTAGACGCACGCCACACAAACTCTTCCTTCTTTTCTTGTTGCCGATTGGCCATGTCTTGGTAGTCTGCCCGCGAGAAAAATATCCCATCAAACCCAGCCTGCTCAAATGCGAGGATCAACAGTATACGGGCACAAACAGCAGGATAAAAACATGGGGGAAGGGTGTGAATTGAAGGAAGGAAGGGTGGGGAGAGGGCGGAATTGGGTTGACGGGGAAACGGCGTTTGCAGAGGGGGAGGGTGGTATCAAGGGGTAGCACATGAACAGCGATCATGTATATGGGTAGACCATGTAACCTCTTCCCCATCCCCCTTCTTACCTGCGCAGTGATGAGACTGGCTTGAGTTGCCGAGTGGCCGAAGGGGTCAATCTGCCATGCGATGCGCGGCGTGACGTTGAACTCGGAGCGGAAAAGCGCAGCCCCAGAGACATCTGGTGGATCACATGTGATTCTATGTACCCCATTCCCCTTCTCACCTGTGCAGTGATGAGACTGGCTTGGGTTGCCGAGTGGCCGAACGGGTCAATTTGCCATGCAACGCGCGGCGTGACGTTGAACTCGGAGCGGAGGAAGCGCAGCCCCAGCGACATCTGGTGGACCATGTCGGTGTAGTGTGTGGTGGCCTCGTCGTGCATCACCCACCCTCCGTTGCTGCGCTCACGAGGCAAGTGAGGGCATGGGAGGGGGAAGTGGGGGAGGGGAGAGGAGAGGATGAGGCGCAGCCCCAGAGACATCTGGTGGACCATATCGGTGTAGTGGCCTCGTCATGCATCACCCACCCTCCATTGCTGTCACGTAGGTGGGAGAAAAACGATGGTCGGTGGACACGTTTCTGACGACTTGGACAAAAGAAGCATGCGTCAAGTGAGTGGTAATGAGTGAAATCCTTTTCTTGTCCATTGATCATGATTGCTAGTGTATCCCTGAGGAGCATAATAGGTAGGCTGAACCAGTTATTGATGGCAATGGCAGGAAAGAAGTCTTATAAGGATAGCAACATGGATGAGGCTCAATGGCGTACACGAATTCGAGTTGACCTGACGCAACCAGAGCATGCACTCTCTTGCGCATGTCCTCTTTCTGTTGCTGCCACCATCGATAAAAGAAGGCCTGGAAGGAACGCAGGGAGGGAGAGTTGAAAAAGAGATCTGGTTCACCTCAGATTGAAATCACATGGCTAGTCTGGAGTTGATGACATGGTAGTTTGAATTTGCGACAATTTTTTCAGCCTGAGATGGATGGTTAGCCTTGAATCACACTGACAGCGTTAGTTGAATATCCAAACGACGTGTTTCTCCTGAGATAAATGAACGCGGTTAGTCTGACACAGTATGAAACGTTACACCTGAGTTGAAACTGACATGGTTAGCATTACCAAAAAACACACGGTTGGTTTCCAACGCTGGCCAGCTCTCACCTGCTCCACCTGGATGAATTTGCGGTCAGGGTTTGCCTCGAGTTGGTCGATGACAGTCTCGATAATGTACTGTACTGATGAAACCTGGACACGTTTCACAAGCAGAAATTTAGAATAGACATGATCATGCATTAGCATACCAATCCGAAAGTAAAAGATGGTGACCCATTCTGAAGATTGTTGTCAAAAGAGCAGGTTCAGGGGAGTTTTGGGGCCTTCTTGAAGATAAACTCACGTAGTACTTGTCAATGGTGCTCGTCCATCCCAAGTCATCATGCGAATGTGCTACCAGATGCACGTTGAGCTTGCTTTCTACAGGTTCTGCGTCCGTGTTGTAACGAATCTCGTCAGTAGCAGCGCCGATCGAAGCAGAAGAGGCCAGCCAATCAGGATTGCCCACGTGTTGCGAGACGGATTGGTTGGCTGAATTCATAAAAGCAAAGAGAGACGAAGAGACGTTGGGGAACGAAATGTTCCCTCCCGTCATGATCTGCTGAATTGTCAACAGCGCAGCGCCTGCCAGAATCCCTATCACGAAAGGCAGTGCGGCCGAGGCCGTACGACTTAGAGACATGGCAGGCTATTGATAACAGCCTCGTATGGCAGCTTCAGTTACTAGACCACGCAAGACAGCAGCTAAGCTTCCGTTGGAACAACTACGGTGCAGGATAGACCATCACGCCATGGACCCTGCACAAACAGCTGAAAGCTTCACGGTCATAGCGTTCGAACCATGATGGTCATAAACTAGCTCGAGCAACCGTGAATCTCGGGAGTGCTACGACAATGGTCTGTGTCCCACCTCCGTCAGTGGCCAACCAAATTGCTCGACACAATCGAGGGCATGAATAGTTACGCAACACTGTACTATTGTTCCTCAGCACCATGAATGTTTCTTCACATCAACTCTAATCTTACAATAGCTATTGCTTGGCTGGCTTCATTCATGTCAAAATTGCCCAGTGTGCAAAGTTATGAACTTGAATCTCTAGGAGTATCGAATGCTAATAAAAAGCGTGATTCATGTTCCCGTTTTGCTGTCATGATTTTCATTGTACCCTAAAGGCAATGCTGTATGGATAAGCACAGCATAGGGGCCGCTTTTATGTATGTGGAAGGCGATAGCGTTTTAAGCTGTACAGAGTAACTCAATGCGTGCAAACTTTTCACCCTTGAGGTGAGAGTGGGCAAACTGTAGGGTGGCAGATCCTCCCAACACGTGATTGGCTCCCGTTTGGTCGAATCTCTTCCTTCCAAACCACAGGCGCGACAGCCAACTGAACAGCAGCATCTGATTCGCTTCCCCGACAAACGAATAGGACCCAAACAACCGGAGACAGTACGGTTCAGCGAGCTTCTATGCGGTGTGAAAAGCGAAACACACAGAAAAATGGATAAGGAAAGAAGCAGCGTGGATGACTTGTGTAGATTCAGACGACGACCCACCGATTTCCTCCACAGATTCTGTGGTAGTTGGATACCTAATTAGCTGCCGAGCAGGTCTAAACTCGGCAATACTGGGCATTTGTCCAGTCTGCTTTTGAGTCATGTTTCCGCGGAAGGGCCATTTGATACTGAGCTGTATCGGCTTGTCCGCTCTCTCACGTCAGGCGGTGTTAGTTACGTGTGTCCCAGTAGTGGCCTCAGTTGCTTCTTCAGTCTCTTCCAGAAGCATCAGCGATCTAATCACCCAAACTTCCATGACGTCAAGCATCACGTGACGCGACTAGGCTCATGACGTCAAGCACGCGCTCCGGGGCGCTGCTGGTCACGAACCAGCCGGTTTCAAGTCTGAACCGTCGTCTGTCGGTGCTAGTACAGTTTGCGCAATTTGTGGTTTTAAATTCGCCATTTATCATGGCGGGAATATCATCAAGCACAATGATTCGCCCCGGCGGAGAAGCCACTGTGCATGCTGCAACACCATCCAGGACCTCAGGTCTTCAGACCCCCACCCACAGGTTCAGTTTCAGATAGTTTCATGCCCCATTTTGTGGCTCCTAGAAATGCTAACAGTCGGTCTTTGGGTTGGCAATCTCGATTCCGCTTCATTTCCTCATGATCTAGCAACAGACTGAGCTAATCAGGCATTCGCGCCGAACACGGAACTCAAATCACCCACTGCATTAACTCGGAACTCGTTAGTAAAGATCCGTGACAGTGGCCTTTGCTTCCCCTCCGCGTGACCCACTGCGTCAGCCATTCAAGATGATGCGCCTCTGCCTCCCCTCCGCGTTCCTGCGCCTCGCGGACGAGCACGATTTGGAGAACCAGGCAGTCCCAGTCACTTCCCCAGAGCGCTTCGTTGACCCCTCCCACTCGCTTCCCTTGAACGACGATCTCTCTTGTCCTCAAGGCGCCAAATTCCCTGGGTTAGCGGCAGCAGCGCCGCTCAAAGACACGCTTTCATCATCAAGAGACGCGTGTGATCTACTGACTGCTGCTGCTGCTGAGCAAAATGCTGCTGAGAGGAATGCTACAGGGTGGGCTGATCGTGCTTCTCTGGAAGCAGGCCGAGCATCTCTGGACGCGCAGCAGGGAATGAGCCGCTTGCCACCACGCCCCGGAGGCAGCGGCCGAGTCTCCCTGGAGGAATCGTGCTGCGGCCGCTCCTACCGCTGCGACAACATGTGCTTCCGAGGCTTGGAGGCGTTTCCGGGAGAGCCCACACGACGATCTGATGCCGCCTCTCCACGCCACTCTGCGCTCAAGAAGCCCCTGGAAAGGAAGCCATCAGGCAGCATTCCGCGGGTCATGAGCGACTTTGATCCGATCTCTTCGCGTCATTCTGACCCGGGTCACATTTGTGGCGAATCTGATCGGTATCGATCCCGGGGAAGGACTTGGGGCTCTGCTCGGGACACTGCTTACAGCCAGTCGGCCAGTTTTGCCAATTTGGGTTCTTTGAGCGCCACAGGCAGTTTCTCGGAAACGCGTGATTCAAATCACCGCTGCGCGTCAGGTTTGAGCCTCGGCACTCGCTTGCAAAGCAGCCACAGGCACTCCTTGGGAGCGGCTCTCTCAGATCTTGCTCTGATTGAGGAGGCCCTGGGTCTCTCACAGCAAGACAGCCTCCATACGGACACCTTGAGGGAGGAGAGCCATTCTGACCCGGGTCACATTCGTGGCGATTCTCTCTGTGGGGGGTGTTCTTGGCGTTCTGCTGAGCTGGCGTGCAGTCCAATGTGGGTGGATAGCGCCAGGTCACGGATTCAGGAGGCTGCACTGGCTGTGGTGGAAGCACAGCAGGCAGCCGCGGAGTTGAGTGCACGGATTGATAAGGCAGAGGGACGTGCGACAATAGGGCTTGCACCAAGGAGCCTACCAGGATTGTCCTCCTCTCCTGTGACCAGGAGGAGCTTTGATGGTGTGGCGAGTATACAGCACCAGACTGTGGAAGTAGGTTCCAGTTCACCCAAAGAAGCCTCATTCCTTGCAGCCAACAGAACAAGAAGTGAAGGGTCGTACATTGGCCAAAAACTAGCGAGGCTGTTTAGCATGACAAAAGCTCAATCAAGTAAGAGTAAAAAGGGTCAGTTTTAAATGAGATATTGGAAAATAAAATCAAAATCAAATATATGTTGCTATTCTCTCAGTGAGCTGTTCTGATATTCTTCCACTACAACAGATGTGGTTATGACTAACAATTCGTCAACCTAGGGTTCTGAAAACTTTGCTGTGTATCAATGATGATATCCACAAGAACCGTGTCCAACCGTGATGCACATACTGAGCAGAAAATGAGCGTGCACATACTAGCCATCCAGTCTCCCTCTCTCACCCGCACAGCTGGCAGGGTAAACCCGAACCGAATGTGAGAATATCGTGACATGGCAGCACAGCCGAATATTGCCCAGCACAGCCGTAAATGACACGTCATACGACAAGTTGACCTGAGTCACCTGACCGAGAAAGTCCTTATTTCCAGGCTGGCGTATCCATGCTTTGTGGCTCCTCCCGCTTTCCCGCCATTTTGCAACCACGCAATTAGCCCTTGTAGAGATATCCCGCAAGGGTGAAGGAGCCAATAACAGCGCTCTTGCGTGCATCCGTATGACCATTGACCAACCTGATTTTGATCCTGCACTCATTGCCCGTCCAAAGTGAATCCTGCTCGCCCCCAAGCTCCCAGCACTCGCTTTTCACACACCAAGCTCTCGAATTTATTCTCTTGGGAACGAGGGTGTGGTGTGTCTGAGGGGGGATCATGATAGGATTCCAGAATAAAATACGTATGGGACGTGTGGTTCGGGAACCGGGGAAGGGGGCCTAATGCCTACTCCCTGTACTGTATACGCGCGTGGGGCTGGTCAGGGAGGTCAGGTGCGACTCTTCGAAACTGTCCTTTCGAGCGCGATTGGTTCATCGGGTCGGTCTCTCAAGAAAAATATCGCGTTGCCAATGGTGCTCTGGGCACGTTCTTGGCACAGCAAAGGCAATGGCGCGTGAACGACGGGGGATTGTGTACAGACAGACAACACTGTATGGTGTGAAAAGGCGTACAGTACCTGGGTGTTATTCCTTAGCCGTTCCGTGAGCAACAGCGGTCAGTGCCTTCACTCCAGTCCTTCGATGCGCGCCGGTTCATCGTCTTTCCAGCTGTCTCCAAGCCATCCCGGCAGTGGCCATGAGGCTGCTGGGCGGGACATGAGTACTTGTCCCAGATTCAGACGTCAACGACAGTGACTCAGCTCTTCAACCCTTAGCTGCTCGTTCTACGATATTAATGTCGTGGTCCGGTGTGTTTCTCGTCCATTCAGTTCGATTCGTAGCTACTGGCACCACCCGTGGTTGTTTCCGTTCATTACCAATGGCGGCGGAATCCTTGTGTGACTCCACCTGGACTATTGGCCGTTCGGGTGCCTTCGAGGCGTCATCGCGCGATTCAGCGAGGTCGTGGGAGCACGACGGTGCGTGGGAGCTGCGTTGCGACTGTGGAGCTCGATCAAGTAGTAGCAACTTGGAATGCGACACTCCAACGGGAGACGACGGCGTCGCAGGTCCGCGACACTCCAGCCTCCCGTTGCACATGTCGTATGCTGACATAAGCCTGCTTTCCCGCCGTTCCGACGACTTGAGCATGCGACAACGGCGGTCGTGTTCTCGTCGCACGTCGTCGTGCAGCGACATCAGCGTCATGTCGCCTGCGTCGTCCGTCTACTCACATGACGACGCGAACCGGACGTTGATGTGCGTGGAATGCTCGAGACTAGACGCTGAGCTGGCATGCGATCCGTCGTGGATTGACAGCGCACGTGCGAGAATCAGCGGGGCGGCATTGGCTGTTGTGGAGGCGCAACAGGCAGCGGAAGAGCTGAGCGCGCGGGTAGACACAGGCGCAACACTCCCCGTGCGCATAGGAACCCCTGTTAACCTCCGCAAGCTTTGCATGGGAGAGGGCCAGGGATCGAATCTCAGAAGTGGTGTTCAGAGGGGGGCAAGAGGGAGGGGTGAGGAGGACGTACGCAACAGTTTGGATGCTGAGAAGTGCACAGCTGTATTTGATAAGATGGTGGAAGAAGAGGAGGAATCTGGAGCTTCAGTGACCAAGCTAAGGGGCCTGGGGCCCGGGTGGGGGGAAAAGATGCTGGGAGATGACAATTCAAGAGTTGATACGGGGGTTGCTGGAAAGCATAGCGAATGCAATGGAACTCAGGACAAGAAAGCCAGTCGAAGGAAGCATAAGGTTAGGTTTATTATTGGTTGGTTTGGTATGATGGTCAAAGATTGAAATGTACATAGAAAATACGTGCATTGTGTGCATAATGTATTATAAGCCTGTATTGATCGTTATGGTAGCTTGTTGGACCAAGAAATGATGCAATGTATAGATGTATTATTGTCATGCGGATTTATCATGGTCCTGATACTTGTGTGTTCTGGATGCATCATGCATCTCAGCAGCACACCCGGTACAGCCGTAACGAGACCGTCGCCTTTGCGGGGATTTTGCTCTCGCCAGAAAACCTCCTCCCTCATCTTTTCCTGGTCCTCCCAAGATTGCGGATCATACCACTTTGAAACGGATTTCGGTTAACACCGCGTTAGACCATTGCGCACCGAAATAAACCTATCATTCAACTGTAAAGCAAACCAAAATTGCCCACATTGCTCATTTTGATTGCTTTGGACTAAACCTAAAGAAATTAGGACTTCGGCGTAAGTACTTAGTTTCCGCATACCAGTCTACAGCTTGTTTTGATCGGCCTTTGAATTGACTGAAATCTGCACGCTACCTTACCTTGCTCGGTTCTAAGGAGGTATGGCGGATCAATGGCAGGCCACGCAAGCAGGCGCGTCGCAGGCGGGAGCCATGAGCGCCGGGAGCCAGCCGGCCAGCAGCACAGGTGCCTATGCGCCGTCACACCAGGTGCTGCCGCCGGAACCTTCCACGAGACGTGGTTGCGTTGCATTTAGCTGTCCTCTAGATCCTCACTTGATGGTTCCATTCGTCGCGTCGCGCGTGAACCCTCTTGTTTGGTCTCTTCTGTGTTTCGGGATTGAGCCTCTTTTTTAACAACCATGATCGCTTGCTCTATTTCCGGTTCTTACAACAACGCAAAAGAAGAAACCCTGAAAAAAAAACGCGTTACGGAAGCCCTCAGGCTGACATGCGTGGTCGCCGTGTTTGCTTCTGTTTCAATCTGACGCATGATGGCGTCAGCAGGGTTGGGACGCGAGCGGAGCGTGGGGTTACCAGCAGCAGCAGCAGCAGCAGCAGCAACAGACGCAGGAGACTCAGCTTGGCGGTATTGTCTTTCCGCTAGTCTTCCTGATTCTTGATTCGCCTCGTAAATCGTTTTCGCCAAGTCCCTGTAATGCGTCGGAATTGCTTTACAATAACGACTTGGTTATCTTCCATGTCCGTCAAGTCGAGTCATATTGATATGTTTTGCTTCCATCTCCGTGCGTCATTACCCGCGTCGCTTAAGTGTCAGTGAATCGTGCATCGCCTTATTCATGGCTCCCTGAATCCGTGTATCAACCCGTTTATGACACTCTTAAACTCCTCATGACTCCCTTGAACCGTTCACGGCTCCCTTGAACCGTTCATGACTCCCCCACCCCGTGTATCAGGGGCGGAGCTCGACTGGGCGGCCAAGGCGCGGCTCTGGGCGGAGCAGCGGGCGGCGCAGGAAGCGGCGGACGCAGCGGCGGCGGTAGCTGCGGCGGCAACAAATAAAGAAGCAGCAGCTAACGGGGACAAGGAACCGCCGAAACAGGATACTGCAGCAGCGGATGCGGCGGGGGGGGCGCCGGGAACGCAACAGCAGGATGTGGGTGCGGGGGGCGGGGGAGGCGGAGGAGGCGGATACGGGGGGTATGTCGCTGCTGACGGGACGTATGTGGGTGGTGGGTATGGCGGGAGCTCCGGGGCAGAACAGCAACAGCAGCAGCAGCAGCAACAGCAGCAACAGCAGCAAGAGCAGCAGCAGCAGCAGCAGTACTATCAGCAGCAGCATTACCAGCAGTATTACTACCCGCCTGAAATGCACCAGCAGCAGCAGCAGCAGCAAATGTACATGTACCCACCTCCACCTCCTTCCCACGGCCCGCCTCTCCCCCCCCACACGCATCCCCCCGATCCCGCGTCGTTCTACCCGCCGCAGTACCCCCCTTCCCCGATGCAGTACCCCCCTCCCCCCGCGCAATTCCCCCCTACTGCCCCCGCTGGTTCGTACAACGGAGTGTACTCGGGATATGGGGACGCAAATGCGCCTGACGCAGCAGCAGCGGCAGCATCAGCAGGAGCCGGTTTTCCCCCGCAGCACGCGCACGAGCAGCACTACCAGCGCCTGCCCCCGCCACCCCCCCCTCCGCCGCTCCTCTCCGCCCCGCCTCCCGCGCACGCCTCCTCTCTCCCCCCTCCGCCCGCCCCGCCGCCAGCAGCAGGGGCGGCAGCAGCGTACGCGCCGCCAGCCAATCAGGCAGGAGACATGTCCGTGCTCTCACCAGCGGTGCTGGCGGCGGCCCAGGCGGCAGCAGCCTCTGCAGGAATGTATTTTGATCCGGCTGTTTATGACATGGGAGGGGGTGGCTCTGTCACTCCTGGCGCTAAGCCAAAGAAGGTGAGCTGCTGCCGTCGATTAAGACGCTTTAAGAATGCCATTCAGATATCTCTCTGTCCTCCCCTCCTTCCCCCCCCACCCCCACCCCTCCTGCACCCCACCCCCCCGTCCTTCTTTCTGTTCTCGCCCCTTTTCTCTTCCTCGTCCCCTACCCTCTCCCGCGTCCCCCCCACACACTCTCTCACTCACTCGTTATCTTTCTTTCCACCCCTCCAGTCCCTCCCCTTGTGGCTTGTGGACGAGGTCGTCAAGAAGAAGGCAGCCCTCGCAGTCTCTCCTCTCAGCCTCCTCTTCCCCCCGTCCTCCCTTCTAACCCAACCTTTCTTACTCCATACTCCCACCTTCTGTCTCCGCTTCAGTCCCTCCCCTCGTGGCTTGTGGATGAGGTCATCAAGAAGAAGGCAGCCTTAGCAGCAGCAGGAGCGGCAGACTCACCCGCTAAAGCGCCCCCCAAGGACAAATGGTACAACGATAGAGGCCCTCTCGCTGGAACTGGTGCTGGCGCTGGTGGCGCCTCTCGTGCTGGTGGTGGGGGGAGAAGGGGTGTGGAGAGTGACGATGAGGAGGAGGACGAGGAGGAGGAGACGGAGGTGCAGCGGCGGATGGCGATGAACAATGAGATCAAGCGCGTGCTCACAGAAGTGCTGCTTAAGGTGGGTTGGATGTTGAGGGCAGTCGCATGTGAGGGGGATTGCACGCACTGCTGCCAGGTGCAGCGGCGGATGGCGATGAATAATGAGATCAAGCGCGTGCTCACAGAAGTGCTGCTTAAGGTGGGTTGGATGTTGAGGTGAGGTGGGTCGCGTGGGTGCTTTGAGGGATGCTGAAGAAGCTGTAACGTGCCCTATGGAGGAAGGCGATGAGCGGCGAGATCAAACGCGTGCTGACAGAAGTGCTGCTTAACGTGGTTCGGATGTCAGGCGAGGTGGGTTGCATTGCATGTAAGGAGTCGCACGCGAGGGTTGCACGCGAGGGGTTGCACGCGAGGGTTGCATACGAGGGTTGCACGCGAGGGTTGCATACGAGGGTTGCACGCGAGGGCTGCATGCGAGGGTTGCACGCGAGGGTTGCATTGCATGCGAGGGTTGCATTGCACGCGAGGGGTGCACGCGAGGGCTGCATGCGAGGGTTGCATGCGAGGGTTGCATTGCACGCGAGGGTTGCACGCGAGGGTTGCACGCGAGGGTTGCACGCGAGGAGTGCACGCGAGGAGTGCACGTGTGGGTTTCATGCGAGGGTTGCATGCGAGGGGTGCACGCGAGGGTTGCACGCGAGGGCTGCATGCTTGAGTCGCATGCAAGGGGGTCACCATCACGTCAGGAGCCTGAACTGACTTCTGAGTCAACAGAAATGTCATCTCGTGATTAATGTGGTGAGCCGTGTGCTTAATTCGCCACTACACCGTCTCTCCCCGGCCTGCCCCATCCTCTCCCCCTTGTCCCAAACTTTCCCTCCCGCACCACCCTCCCCCTTGTCCCGCGCTTTCCCCTCCGCACCACCCTTTCCCCTCCGCACCACCCTTTCCCCGTTGTCCCACACTCTCCCCCTGCCCCGACCCCTCTCTCCCTGCCAACAGGTGACTGACGACATGGTGAGGCGGATTGCCAAGGATGCTCTTAGGGATCCCCGCGAGGAGGACGACGAGGAGGAGGCGGAGGAGGAGGAGAAGGGGAAGAATGTCAGTGGAGGGAAATGGGTGACAGTGGGTGAAGGGGATGAGGAGGAGGAGGAGGAGGAGGAGAAAGGGGCCGAGGGGGAGAAGGATGGAAACAGGCGTATGGAGGTGGAGGGGAAGGAAGATGGGAAAGCAGGTGAAGAATCAGGTGAAAAACCAGGTGGGGCAGGTGCGGTTGAGGAAAACAGGGTGGTTGTGGAAGGAGGGGGAGGTGAGTTTGGGAGGAAGGGGGTGGTTGATAAGAGTAAGGCAGCGAGTGGTGAGAGGAAGAGGAAGAGTAAGAGGAAGAAGAAACGGGCGGGAGGGGGAGGAGGGTTGTTGGGTGGAGGGCTGTTGGGGATTGCATATGGTAGTGATGAGGATGATGAGGATGATGATGAGGAGGATGAGGAGGGGGAGGGGGAGGAGGAGGACGACGAAGAGGATGAGGAGAAGGAGGAGGAGGAGAAGGAAGAGGAAGAGGAGGAGGAAAAGGAGAAGAAGGAGGAGAATGAAGTGGTAAGGGATGCAAAGGACAGAGGGGTTGATGGTGGTGAAGGGGGTGGGAGTGCGGTGCAGAGGGAAGGAACGGGGAGGGAGGAGCAAGTGACGGTTGGTGCGTTGGAGGAGAGGGGGGAGGGGAAGGATGGGGAAGAGGGGGATGAAGGGGCGAAGATAAGGGGAGATAGGAGCATGGGGCAGCAGGAGGGAGGGGAAGAGGTGCGCAGAGAGGGGGCTGATGAGGGGGAGAGGGGGAGGAAGAGGAGCGGGGGCGGGGATGACGGGGTAGGGAAGGGGAAGAAGGCGGAGGAAGGGCGTGGACGGGCGAGGGGAGAGGAGGAGGGAGGGGAGGAGGGAAGCATGAAGGGAAAGACGAGCAGGAGGAGTGAGGGGAAAGATGATAAGGAGAAAGATGTGGAGAGTGAGGAGAGCGAGGGGAGGAAGAAAAAGAGGAGAGGGGAGCATGAGAGGAAGGAGGGAAGTGAGAAGAGGCATAAAGAAGAGAGAGATAGGAAAGCGAAGAGGGAGGATGAGGAAGATAGGGAAGAGTCCGGGAGCAAGGACAAGAGCCGGGATGCAAGTGAGCGTGAGGGTAGGAAGAGGGCGCAAAATAAGGAGAAGGATAGAGAAAATGATAAAGAGAAGGATGATGGAAAAGAGAAGGAGAAGAGGAGTGCTAGGGGCGAGGAGAGGAGCAAAGAGAGGGATGAGAGGAGGGGCAAGGAGAGGGGGAAGGAGAGGGAGAAGGAGAGGAGTGGTGAGAAGGTTGGGGAGGGGGAGAAGGAGAGAGACAGGAAGGGGAAGGAGAGGAAGAGGGATGGAGATGAGGAGGGTAGTAAGGATGAAAGCAGGGAGGAGGGTGGCAAGGAGAGGAAGGGATCGCAAGTTGAGAAAGAAAAGAAGGAGAAGGAGGAGAAGGAGGAGCGAGGGAGCAAGGAGAAGCGAGATAGGAAAGACAAGTCCGAGGGCAAGAGTAAGGAGGAGAGCAAAGAGAAGAAAGGAAAAGCTGATGCTGATGCTGATAGTGACGGCGGCAGGAGTGAAGAGCGGGGGAGGGGAGGCAGGCACGGGCGATTAGACAAAAGGAAGGAGGCAAGCAGGAAGGGCAGGCATCGCAGCAAGTCTCGCTCCCCGTCCCCTCAACCCGAGCAGTCAGGCAGTGGTGGAGACGAGGAGGAGGAGGATCGTGGCAGGTGAGACGGTGGACATGGGGGAGTGGGGAGTGAGGGTGGGCATGTGAGGATGGGCATGGGAGGGTGGGCTTTTGGGGGTGGAGATGTAAGGATGGATGGCATGTGAGCGGCCATGCAATCTGTGATATGTTCCCCCGATGATGTTCCCTCAATGATGTTCCATTGCCTCGATATGTGCCTTGTGGGGATGATTTCATCCTTACCCACCCCTTCCATAACCTTCTACCTGCCTTCCTTATTCTCCGTTTGAAACCCAGGCATGGGAAGCGTGGGAGCAAGGACAAGGGGAGGGAGCGAGAGAGAGCAGAGAAGAGCAGCGAGAAGGAGAAGGAGAGCAGGAAGGGGAAGGAGGAGAGGCGGGAGAAGGGAAGCAAGAGGGACAAGGAGAAGAGGAAGGAGAAGGAGGGGGGCAAGGGAGAGGGGCACGGGGAGCAGAGGAGGAGCAGGAGGAGGAGTCGTAGTGTCAGTCGCAGCAGCAGCAGCCGCAGCCCAACCCCCAAGAGACGGTGTGATGAACCTTCTTCCCCAGTTAGTTTGTCCGTCCATTGACTTGCGTGATGTTAGAATCAAGTGCACACACCATGGCACTCTGCATTTATCATAGCCATCCCATCCACCTGTGGAACTCCCACCTGCTTTCTGTGCGCAAGTCTGTGCATGTGTCTGCATGTGTGGGCGCATTGGTGTGCATGCATCTGCCCTTGCGTGCAGCTGCTGCCCCTCCCTCCTCCTCTCACCCTCTTGTCCCAGCCCCCTGCGGGGGACCAGTATTTCCCATACTGCCACCACTGTCACGCAGACCCGTGTCTCACGGCCCTTGCGCTGAGGCCTCTCTTGTTCTCGCGCCTTCCAGCCTAACAACCAACACCCCCATGCGCGGGCCTCTGGTGGCCTCTCCGGTCTCTGGGTTTTCCTCCCCTCTCCCTCCCTCCCACTTCTCTCTATGGTTCCGATCCTCCTCCCTACAGGTATGCCCTCTTCCATGCCCTACCTACCCTCCCCACCTCATCGCTCACTTCTGCTCGTCCTCCTTTGCTGTGTTATTCCTGTCAATGATTTCCCTGTTCATTCATTTGCTTTGGCTGCTCACGACTCACGCACACAAGCACGTTGACTCTCACTCGTGCATGTGTTGGCAGGCCCACGTGCGTTGAGCTCAAACATCCACGCTTCCCCCGCTTGTCCCCATGCCAGGTACCGGTCTGAGCGGTAGGAGCCTGCCTGCCGCATGGAGGCACAGGAGTGCGCGTTCGGATCGCTTGCGGAGAGTATCGGATATCGGGATTCTCACAGGGCGCTTTTCCACTGGTCTTCTGAGCTGCCTCAATTACTCTTTTTAGGCGCCTCAACAATCAGATCTTGGCACTTTTGAGCTGCCACCTCTGGGCTGAGATGAGAGCAGAAGGGCAGTGCTTGTTGTTTGCTCCAAGAGAGCACATACTACCTGAATCTGGAACGGGTCAGAACCAGAAGTGCCTTGCACCCACCTTTTTTTGGTTGGAGTTGGAATTTGGAGTGGAGATTACGGGTTTTTGTGGGAAAAGAGGGTGTTTGTCATGAAAAGACTGATGTGTTGTTTGTTGTTTTAGTAATGCCATGATAACTTTACCGTGATTTGAATCTATGCGGCTACTCCTCATCAGGAGTGCACATTTGCAAGATAGATTCTAAAAACTGAATCCTGTTTTTGCAGGCTGAAGAGTTGGTGAGCTGAGCTGCATCCCAGATGGAATTCTTCTCTTATGAACATACCTATTCCAATCCAATTCTCTAGCACCTATTGTCCACAGAACCAACCTTACTCCTAATGCCGTCCTTTCACCTCCCCACTTTGCTGCAGCCGCTGTTGCCCCTCTCCCCAACCTGCTGCTCCTGCTGCATGCTCTGGTTGCTGCATCGTCCCCTCCTCATTCGCCCCTTCCTTCCTCCTCTCCACTTCCTTCCTCTGCACCTCTCTCAACTTCTCCCTGTCTTCCGCCCTCTGCCCCCCCCCTCCTCCTCGCCTCCCCCTCCTCACACTCCACCGTTCATTCTCAAGCACAAGATACTCCCCTGACGGTGCCAGCAGCCGCCACTGCCGTGCTACAGTAGCAGCCTCTACAGTAACGGTGCAATTCGGCTTCATGCGGTCGTGCACTTCCACTGCCATCACCCGCACCTCATCCAACCACGGCCTAGGGTCGTACCAATCATATTCCCTGCTGATTTCAGCTGTGCTACTGGTCCTGCTGCTGCTGCTGCTACTGCCTCCGCTGCCGCCGCCGTCGCCACCGTTGCTGCTGCTGCTGCTGCTATTGTCACTGCCATTGCTGCTGCTGGATTCCCCAGAGGCAGTGGAATCTGCATTCGATTTAGTCACATCGGCGCCTGCAGCCAATGGGGGCACGGCCAGCACTTCAGCCTCGGACCCCTCAATATCCATCTTCACAAAATCGAATCTCGCTAACCCAACCTGCTTTAGCACATCGCCTACAGTCACACCACGGATAGTCACGCCCCCCTCAGCTGCCCCTGTGGTTGCCACTCTGCTGCTGTTGCTGCTGTTCGCTTCACCCTCTACCCCCTCCTGAACATCCTCGTTAGTATCACCTTCGTTTGTGTCACCGCTGCTATTAGAGGGCACCGGCGTAACCACATACTGCCACCCCTCCCTCGTCTTCGTTTGTGTCCCATTCCTTAGCAGCACCATTCCAGAGTGATTAAACAGCCCCGCATGCACCGCATAAACGTTGCGCAGGCGATACGTGTTACGCCGTAACACCTCGTAGTTCTTGTCACTCGCCTCTATGGCGACCACAGTAGCGTTGGGGAAGAAAGTGGAGAATATGAGCGTCGCATACCCCACGTTGGCTCCTGGGAACGAGGAGAGCAATAAACAGGAAAAGAGGGTGACGGTTCTGAGCGAAAGGCTATTCTCAAAGGCAAGGAGAACAATTAGCAGTCGACGAACGTCACGTGTGGCTTCACCGGAGCATTAGGCGGGCGGGACAGTATGTGCGGGGAAAAGCCATGGATGAGCTTGAACACGCAAAACGGTAAATTGGTACCCTCGCCACCAGCGCCATTAGCGCCACTTGCCCAATTCCCAACACCCGCCCTATTCCCGCCAAACGCGCTTACCTGCATCCAGGACAGTTCGCGGCCGGAAGTGCTTGATGAACCCGAATTCGTCCATCTCGACAAGCTGCTTCAGCACGCTGAAATCCGAGTAGTACGGCCGCAGATGCACCGTCAGCACGCACGGCGCGTGCAGGCACGGCACCTGGCCGTGCACCGCCGCCATCGCGCACACGACGGCGTCGCGTGGTAACCGTTTTCGCACGACCTCCAAGGCGAGGTAGAGCTGCCGGTTCGTCTGCCACCGCCCCGCGTACCAGTACCGCGGCTCGTCTGGCGCGGAACGCGGAGCGACGGGGGCGATATAGCAGGCGCATTGGTATTGGGGGGGGGGGGGGGTCCGAACCAAGGGGAGGAGAGGGGCGAAAGAAGGGATGCGGGGAGGTAGGGGGAAGGAGGAAGGGGAAGGAGGGCAAGGGAGAGAAGATGTGGGGGAGAGAGATAGAGCTGGGACTTAGCCATGAGGCGGGAGTTACGAGCATGGCGGATCGATTTGGCGAAGAAAAAAGGAGCGGAAAGGGATCGGGGAAAGAGGAGGCGTCAGTGCCTCTTACCTCGCCGCCACCCATGCGCTTCCGCCATGACACTTCTCAGCTCCATCGGACCACACTGGACCCCATTGAAGCCCTTTGAACCCACGTTGAGAGATCTCAAATTGATACAAGCGCGTCAGTGCATCTTACCTCGCCGCCACCCATGCTCTTCCGCCATGACACTTCTCAACTCCATTGGACCGCTTCAGACCCACTTCAAGAATTCCCAAATTGACACAAGCGCGTCAGTGCCTCTCACCTCGCCGCCACCCGTGCGCTTGCGCCATTATGCTTCTCAACTCCATCGGACCCATCCCGCACACGTCGCCCACAACTCGAATCCTCGCCATCTCCGCATCCGATATAGTCGCAACGTCGACACCCGCGAGGGAGTTGAGCTGGCGCACCAGTCCCGTCGCTATAAGCGCGAGCGCGAAGAAGGAGAGCAGCGGGAGGCTGTTCGCGGCCCACGCCCACGACCGCCATGGCTTGCCGCCGAAGAGGGAAAAGGACGAGGAAGGGGTGGAGTAAGGGGAGGTCGGAGGTCGTGGCGAGAATCCAGCCGAAAGGGGTCTAACGGGGGCTGAAAGGCTTCTGGTCGGCGTGCCGTGTGTCGATTTTACGGGCGTGGTGGAGCCTTCCATGATGTGCTAAGCCGAAAGGGAGGATTTTTTTTTTTTTTTTTTTTTTTTTGTTCCAGTGGAATGTACAGCTATTGCAGCGTTTAGCGCGTCTAGTCTCACAGCAGATGTGGATCTGGGGAAGCGACTAAATTGGCAGGCTGTGCGAATGGGAGTGTCTATATTCGTTGGATTGACTTTGGCGGAATGGACGACCTGAAGTGTCGCCCGGCGCAACCTAAACGGCAAGCGAGCGCCTTGCAGGATAAACAGACGATCACGCGGGCTACTCTGTGGTCGACAAACTCTGTAAGATCGCTTGTAAGATGCCCCAGTGAGGTTTGGTATTTATCCTAAACGAAAACATTTCCATCAGGTTCGGCACAGAGGTTGGGTGACGGATGTTTCGCAACATTCACCGCAAGGCTTCATTCTCTGCGGTCTACTCTCTAGGTATGAAGGTTAGGGACAAGAACAGAAGCAAGAACCTGAACAAGAAGACAGCGCCGACTGTGGCGTGGATTCAGCAATAACAGTTACAACACGAAAGAGACTCTGGTTCCGAATCCGCCGACATAGCTGCGTGAAACTAGTGGTAGAGCAAGGGAGGGTTGAAGGGGGAGGGGGAAAAATGCACCTTCTCTTTCTGAGTGAATTTTGAGAACAACAAATGTTCCTGCGACCAGCAGGAGAATGCGACGCGAACGCTTTGTGCGGTGCGGGTCAGACTTCCTCGCAGTCAGCGCCTATTGGTTTGGGAAAATTGAGCGCCATGTCTGCTGGCCTGACCTCGTTTGAAGAGTTTCGGATTTCACGCTGGTTGGCCAGCGGGAAACTCGGGGATCAGGTGGTTCAGGCGGTGGTGTGACTGTATGAGGTTGTCTGGCGTTGACAGCTCTGGTCTGGTTGGCTGCGAGTACTGTACATGTTGTCAGAGTGCTGCCTGCCATACGCCTCGACCAGAAGGGTTGCACTACCGACCGAAGTATTCTTCGTGTGGTCCTCTGGTTACTCAGCAACAGAAGATCGCACCTAGTCGTCGAGTTACCATGTCCGTCGAAGCAATATTTGACTCCGCTAAGACAACTGCGAAGTCTTCGAGCTTGCCAGGGACGACCCATAAAAATTTGACATTTGGCAAATACATTGAAGCGAAAGCTCTGTGATTGGATGAAACGGCGTCTGTATGCGCTGGCACATCTTTCTGGATTACCCAGGCCCCTAGTTCCTTCTTTGCACCTTCTCCAAATCCACACTCCAGCGGTTAGCCCCTCGTTTGCATTCACAACACAAACCTCCATTCACAACCCTGATATTCAGCCAGGGGACATTCAAATTCAGTCTCACGCTGATTTTAGGCTCTTGGTAGTCCCGAGAGAAAGGGAGGCAGAGGAATCGTATTCCACGTTTTACTCCTGGCGTTTGGCTTCGGTGGTGCTTGTCGAATCAAACGAGTTTCTGAGCCATGTCTTCCAGCACGCTAAGTGGCGTTCGGTTGATGCGAGTCGTCGAAAACCATGGCCCTTCGAAACCATCAGGTCGGCACCATTGGTCCCATCTCATGATCGCGTGAAGATTCGTTCATGTTTCATTCATCCCGTCGCCCACGCTTTCATGCTCAGTCATGCTCGGTCTTGACTGCACGGATTTCATAATGCCATGTCAATTCTCACAATGGTGCCTCCAGTTTGATTCACTTCGCTCTTCTGTTTCTTTTCCTGTTACCAGCATTCATGACCATCAGAAGCAATGGCGCAGTCAACTTGGTCCCTCTGCGTCTCCACACAGTTTCTAGCGCCTGTGCCACGTCATCTGCGTCACTGAAAACGAGACGATTTTGGTGCAGGTCTGTCACGGCGTCAGCAGGATCAGTGTCGCAGGAAGAGCAGCAGAGTGGTGCCTCGGATCAGCCTCCCCTGGTGGTGGCGACGCGCGAGAAAGGCAAAAACGGCAAGCTGATGAAGGCACTGGTGAGTGTTGACATTCTGTGATTCCACGTTCAAAACACAATGGCACGGTGATGAGAACGGCTTTTTCAAGACTCCAGATGCAGGGAAATGCGTTGAATCCCATTTGCACTTTTACAAATTATCGCGAATTGACGTCCTGCAACATGACGTGAGCGCTCCAGTATCGGAGTCTGCAGATGCAGCACTCAAACAGGTCCAAGTGTGTACGCTAGTAATTTTTAAAACCCGGCCTCTCCCTGTGCTTATCTACCCAGAGTGCGAGGGGAGTGTCAGTGATGGAGCTGCCGCTCATCCAGCACTCAGACGGGCCCGACACCCACCGCCTGCCAGCCGTGCTTCAAGGTCAGTTCTCACCGCTTCCTCGCATCCTTGTTCTAGTTAGCTTCTTCTTTCCCTATCGGCCCTCCCTGTCCCCCTCGTTTTCCCTGTTCTTTTTTCGTTCCTGCTTCCTTGCTGCCCCGTCTGAACCCTGGGTGCTTCCTCAGCGGTTTCTTGTCCTGTTTCGGTTTCTTCTGTCTCATGTTTCTTGCATGCAGAAGAGGAGTTTGAGTGGATTGTGATAACCTCGCCAGAAGCTGCTTCAGTATTCCTTACTGGCTGGAGGTAAGGTCCACCACACGCTGGCATTTTCTTTGCCTGCTTTCACACCTTGCATATGCATCGTGCATTGATTTCAGCAAGCTCCTCGCATCACCCTTGACTCCCGCTCCCTGATTCCACTGACTCGACACCTCCTGTCATAATCCCACCCACACCCCGTGCCATTTCTTCCAATATGACGCGCATCAACGTCAGAGCCGCAGGGTCGCCGGCGCTGAGGCTGGCAGTGGTGGGGGGCGGCACAGCGGAGGTGTTCCACCAGCTGGGCGAGCCCGAGAAGCACCTCCTGCCCGTCCAGTTCGTTCCCTCCATAGGTACCTTTTCCTTCCCTTGAACAGTAGTGATAGGCGCCGGCACAACCGGAGTGCTTCTGGTCTTCCACCAGCTGGACGAGCCGGAGAAGCACCTCCTGCCCGTCCAGTTCGTTCCTTCCACAGGTAACCTTTCTCTTCCCCTTGAAAAGTAGTGCTGGGTGCTTGCACAGGCGACTGCGTTTGGTGCAACTGTATACCCTCTCCTCAATCCTCCCCTCTCCTCCCCCTCCACCCGCCCTGCTTCCCCAGCGACGGCCAAATATCTGTCGGCTGAGATTTCGAAGACTTAAGGCGGCAACCGCCGGGTGCTTCTGGTGCAACCTTGTGTGCTCTCCTCATTTCCACTCTCTCCTCCCTCTCCTCGCTCTCCGCCCTCCCTGCGTCCCCAGCCACGGCCAAGTATCTGTCGGCTGAAATCCCGGAGATTGAAGGCGGCAACCGCCGGGTGCTGTACCCCGCCTCGGCCAAGGCCAGCACGGATCTCCGTGGGTGCTCTAGACCAGGATGCATGTCAAATATGTCTGGAATATGTTGGCTAGGGGGAGATGAAGGTTGGGGAAGTGGGGGTAGGGGTGGGGAGAAGAGGGACGTATTTTCTCCTTGCTTGGTTGATGGTCTATAACAGGCAATTGTTTTTTTTGTCAGTGCTTCCAACATTTCTGCACTTGCGTGTGTGTGTGACTGCAGAGAATGGGCTGGCAAGCAGGGGCTTCCAAGTCACACGGCTCAACACATACTCCACGGTATGCTGCATGGCTCAACACATACTCCACGGTATGCTGCATGGCGCTCACCTCGTTCTGTTACCGGCGAAACACGTACCTCTGTCAGCTAACACGGTTGCGTTCCTTCTCTGGAGCTGCTTGTATCATTCACATACTTTCCCACTCCTCGCCTTCATCCTTCTCTACAGCGGTCTCACAGAACCCCCTTCTCTTGTCGGCTCTCTTCCACACCTTGATCATCTCCTTCCTCCATGGCTTAATACGTGTGTCTGTGTGTATGCGTGTATGTGTGCGCCACATTGTGCGTGCATGTGGGCATCAGGAGTCGGTGACGAGTGTGGACGAGGACACCATACAGAGAGCCGCCAGGGCTCCTGTCGTTGCTGTGGCTTCTCCCACTGCTGTCAGGTGAGCAACAGCAGACTCTTCAGACTCAAGCATGGACCGTCTTCAATCTCCCCTTTTCACGCTTCCCATCTCCCTAGCCCCTCAACCTTCCTCCCACCACTTCCTTCTCCTCTGGCTTCCCTTCCCGCCTCGCCCCATGCCCATGCGCCCCAGGGCATGGATGGAGGTGGTGGCGTCCCGCACGCAGTGGGACAGAGCCTACTTTTGAGACGTAACCTCTCCCCTGTCTTTTGCCTGCCTCGCACCTCGCCCCGCGCCCCAGGGCATGGATGGAGGTGGTGGCGTCTCGCACGCAGTGGGATGGAGCTGCAGCGTGCATAGGGGGAACTTCAGCCGAAGCTGCGAGAAAAGCAGGAATCAAGAAGGTGTTTGCCCCAGATAGCCCTGGAATTGAAAGGTAAGCTTGTTCAGGACCATGCACTACTCACTCGCTACAATAACCTCCCCTGCTATATCAACTGTCTCCAAAAAATTTGCATGCTCCTCGGCTGGCTTTTCTGTGCCCCTTCATCTCCCTCCGTTTCCCTGTGCAGCTGGGTGGCCAGTGTTATGGAAGCACTGGAAGCAGCACCTGCTGAAGCACAAGCGTAGAAAACCAATTTTTGTATTGTAAGCAAGATGTACTAGAAATCACCGTATGAAATTGATAATACGATCTTGTTTGGTGTGTCATGGGTCTTCCAACAACCATTATAAGTTATGGTTTCGGAAAGGGATTCTAAAGCGCTGGGAGTGAGCTTGTGACGAGCTGTTCTGTGCGGAAATGGTCGCCGAAACTTCGTGTCGCGAACACGTCACTGAGATCGCCACGCCTGCCAGCTCAAATTCGCGAACACGTCACCGATTTCGCCACGCCTGCCAGCTCACTGACGAATGCACCCCATCTCGCTTCGCTTCGTCAGCTCAGACCAGTCAGAGAAACCTATTTCGCCTCCACTTTCTCATTCCGCTCGCGTTTGAACAAACCTTCCTTTTTCCCGTTTCTGTTGGCGGGAGATGCGTTTACAGGAGGAGCCCTCCACATAAGCTTAGCCGCAAGACACGCTTCTGGAGAGAGGTGATATTAATGACTCCGTACACGCCAGAAATAGGAAAGCAGACACCTATCCAGATGTGAACATATTCGTCCTCCCGCTGCCCGCTTGGACATGTACGGAGCGAATTGCCTGGCCTTGCGCGTGTGCTGTCTAGACGACCTGTCCCGCGTCACGTGAATGTTTTCAATGTCGGGACGACGACGACACGATCCGTCCAAGGTATCACTAACTACCCCCAGGAGCCCCACCCGCATAACTACTAGAAGCAAACTTGGTTGTTCTGAACAACGCGTTATATAGTCCCGTCCCGCCTCTTGTGAAACCTGCATGTTTTTACGGCCACTCGTAATATTATCAACGGCTCGTCTCTCCGCCTCTCTTAACATGGAGCGCACTGCGTTTTCCTGGGCACTAATAAGTGAGCGCCCATTGACGCCGTTCGCAAAATGCATCCATGGCTCTGCCGGTCAAACCCCTTCTCACCGGAGTTCGTTTTGGCATGATCGGGTGGTGCTGTGCCTTGCGTGGTGCTGTGCGGTGCTGTGCCTTTTTGGAGATACTTATATTTCTGACTAGAGCTCGTGTTGGCATGATTGGGTGGTGCTGTGCCGTGTGCAGTTGTATCGCTCGTTGCGGCGGGTGCAGCGTCTGCAACATTGCTCCCAACAACCCCCCCCACGTCACCTTCAGCGTCTTTCTCGGCATTGCTCTCAAGCGGGCTGTCCGTCCCGTCCTCCACTCAGGCCACTCCTTTGGTGAAAGGAAAGGCGTTTAGTAAGTGCTTCCGTTCAACCAATGGTGTTTTCTTAGCTCTCAAAAACGCCTGAGCACTTCAGTGCTTTCACGAACTTCGTGAAAATACGTTGAAAGTACTGTCTGCTTGCAGCAGCGATGTCGCCGTGAGCTGTGCTCCGCTGTTACTACTACCGCCACGGTTACTACTCGTGTATGGTGTGGTGGAACTTAGGGTCATAGTATCTTCCCACAACCGCAAGCGCAGTCACATAGCATAATTGGACAAGTGATCTTCCCGTCATTTCATATACTGAACGGAAACTATCAGTGCGCTGCGCGCATGTAGTGTTAGTGCTATCTAATCACGGCATCCTTCAGGGATGCTTTCCTTGGTACTTACACTCCCATTCCCTTTCCAGTGCGCTATGTGGCCAGGCTCACTCCTACTCGTAGCAACGGAAAAGTGGTTGGCGACAAAGGAGCAACTGGAAGAGTGGTTATGAAGGGAGTCGAGTAAGTTCGTTGTTCGGTAACCATAGTTTGGTGTAGCCCTGCAAGTCCTGAGAGTATTTTCCGGTATTTTTTTCTGCCCAATTCAGCTAAATGCAAATTTGAACAAGCTGCAATATCTGTGCTAAAAAATGCATCGATGTGAACATGGCGTATTCTTCTACTCTTGCACAAATATCATGTGAGGAGCCATGAATCGACCCGTGGTGCTTGTGTCCGTCCTATTCTCCCTCGCCTCAGTGACAGAGCCTCTGCAAGTGCCTTCTATGTTGTGATCAACGTGCATATCAACAACATCCGCTCTGGAGGGGCTGGGCCCTCTTTTGACACCGTTTCTTCTTGCCTTGCTGGCAAGTATGAGGCAGGAAGTGACTGGAAGAACGCCACGACTACCAAGGGTGGTCGGCGCAAGCGCTACAGCTTCACTAGCTACACTAGTGTGGGCCCAGGGTCGGAGGCTGTTGTTCGAAGTTTTATCAAACAACGGTTTGACGAAGAGTCGAACGCTTGGTTGGTGTTGTCTCATCCTAACAACAACTACGCACTCTGCGGGAAGATGAAGAAGCAACCGTAAAAGCTGGGGTGTGAGCACTGTAAAGAGTAGGAATGTAAAGAACATTGCAAGTTTGTACCGCTGATGCATGGCCTGGCCTGCCATCATGCCATGCCACCCCTGATATTGGCTTGAATTCTACCATTAGGAAGTATGGTTTTAAATAAGTAATGTTTTCAATTCCGGGGTAGATTTGCCTCAAGCGTCTTCCTAAATTTCAAATCGTGCCTTGGTTGTAGATCAGGGAGACCCGAAGTGGCATGTTGAGTATATTTACTTTCTTGCAGGTTGTGAGTACAATTTGTGCTGGAAATGTATCGAAATATGTTCGCAGAATCGTCGTCATTTAGTGTTGGCAATTGGCCAGGCCGTGACCACGTGGACTCCGCCCAATCTGGGCTGGGCGAGCTGACATGGCCATAGCAATCCCCTTCACCCCGATTTCCATCCCGGCCCTGTCAAACAAAAAGCTTTCCCCGCCTTGCGTCTGGAGCTGAAGGCAACCCGCAATGAAGTCGCTCAGCTTCACATTCTTCAACCAGAGTGATCTTCCTAGTTCTCCTGCTCGCGTTTTTGTCTTGCCATTTTGGTGTTCTCAGCAGCTGAGCACGTCTTGTTCTCAGTGCTGTTTTTCGTACGCCGGAATCTGTCAGTCGCGGGTACTTGCTGGTCCCTCGTGGATCTGGACGAAAAGCCAAGAGATTGGTAGATTCAGTGTTCAGGCGCTTCGTCGTTGTTGGCCATATGGAGCAGTTTTCAAGATCCGCTTTGCGGTCGCATTTCCTTTTAGCATCCCTCATAATAGCAGCTTTGATCGGAAACTCTTGTATCACGGCCGCTAGTGCTGGTCATGAGCTCCGTGAGAGACGTCACCACCATCACCACCACCATCACCCCCACCATCAGCATCACCACGATGACGATCATCGTGATCATGGTCATGGCAAAGGCGGGGGGAGGCCTGGGAGGTACAACACGCGGGCCGGCCCCGTGGAGGGGAAGCTTAACGTGCACCTCGTAGCGCATTCGCATGATGACGTGGGATGGCTTAAAACCGTCGATCAGTACTACATCGGGTCGAACAACTCCATTCAGGTGATTTGACGTGGACATCCGTGCACGCGAAATTTTGTAAATCTGATTGTTATCTTGATTTATGATTGTTTCTTTCTCGGGCTTTCAGGCGAATTCAAGAGGAATCGGATTAATCACCAGATGCTAATGTACATTTATGACAACGATCCGTTGATCTGTTTCAGGTTGCTGCGGTACAGTACATCCTCGATACAGTGGTGGAGCAGCTGAGCGAGGACCCCAACAGGAAGTTCATTCAGGTGGAGCAGACCTTTTTCCAGCGCTGGTGGCGTCGGCAATCCAAGGACGTGCAACGTGTCGTCAGGCGATTGGTCAAGAACGGTCAACTGGAGTTCACGTAAGTCTTGAAGGGAATGTCGGAGCTCTATTACGGGGGCAGGGGATATGCCGTGAAGGGATGTAAGATGTGGTCTGGTGACGGTGATGTTGGGGGAGGATGAATGCGGTCATTTCAGCAATGGCGTATGTCAGCGATTTGAGAAGCATTTCTGTCTGCTGTCGTTAAAATTGAAGGAGTTGCCGTCCAGATTGACACCAGACCGTTAAATTCGTGACATTCCGTGCGCCCCCACGTGCCCTGTTCGCGCAGCAACGGCGGGTGGTGCGTGCACGACGAGGCGGCGACGCACTACACGGACATGGTGCATCAGATGTCCCTCGGCCTGCGCCTCATCCTCTCCTCTCCCCACACACCCTCCTCCCCTCCCATAGCAACGGCGGGTGGTGCATGCACGACGAGGCGGCGACGCACTACACGGACATGGTGCACCAGATGTCGCTCGGGCTGCGCCTCATCCGCCGCCAGTTCGGCCAGGTGCCGCGCGTCGCCTGGCAGATCGACCCCTTCGGCCACTCCGCCGTGCAGGGCTACCTCATCTCCGCCATGGTGGGTTCCGCAATGGTCCGTGCTGCTCGGTGCTGCTGGGTTCTGCTGGGCGCTTCTAGGTTTTCCTGGTTACTGCTTGGTGCAGCATGACTCGAGGGGAAACGATTACCCCTCCCGACGCGCCTCCCCCTACCCCCAACAGGCCAGCCCGGTGTTCTGCGCACGCGCAGAGCAGACTACGAGGACAGCACTGTTCCACCAGTTCACTGTTCCACTCTTTCACCTCGCCCTTTACTCCTCTCCCCTGCCCGCTTTCCCCCCAACAGGGCGGGTTTGACGCGGTGTTCTTCGCGCGCGCGGACTACGAGGACAGCGAGGCGCGGTACCGCGCGCGCACGGCGGAGTTCGTGTGGCGCGCGTCCGACACGCTTAAGGAGCGCGCGGAGGTGTTCGGCGGGCGGCTGTACGTGCACTACCTGCCGCCCGACTCGTTCCGCTACGACACCAACAACTGGGACCCGCCCGTGCAGGTGAGATGCGCGCGAGAGAGCTTGCGCTGGGCTGGCTGCTGGCTGTGGCAGCCTGGGAGTGTGATGCTGGTTGTGTCTACGCTCCCATGGGTGTGCGGGACGTCTCGTTCTGATCTCGTCCGTGTAGTGGTTCATTCTCCTCCCCCCCCCCTCAAACTCCCCCCCTCAAACTCCCCCCCTCAAACTCCCCCCCTCAAACTCCCCCCCTCAAACTCCCCCCCTGTAACAGGACGACCCTGAGCTATATGACTACAATGTGCAGGAGCGGGTGGACAAGTTCGTGGAAACTGCGCTCAAACAGGTGAGGTGGGGAGAGGGAACGCAGGATAGGGGGGGGAGGGTGGGTCGAGGTGGGGGGTTTGGGACTGGGTTTGGGGTTGGGATTGGGGGGGGGGAAGGTTGGGGGTGGGATTGGGTTTGGGGTGGAATGGCCGTGGGGTGGGGCCACGTACCACATCCCGTACGCCATCCCACGTACCACATCCCGTACGCCATCCCACGTACCACATCCCGTACGCCATCCCACGTACCACATCCCGTACGCCATCCCACGTACCACATCCCGTACGCCATCCCACGTACCACATCCCGTACGCCATCCCACGTACCACATCCCGTACGCCATCCCACGTACCACATCCCGTACGCCATCCCACGTACCACATCCCGTACGCCATCCCACGTACCACATCCCGTACGCCATCCCACGTACCACATCCCGTACGCCATCCCACGTACCACATCCCGTATGCCATCCCACGTACCACATCCCGTACGCCATCCCACGTACCACATCCCGTACGCCATCCCACGTACCACATCCCGTACGCCATCCCACGTACCACATCCCGTACGCCATCCCACGTACCACATCCCGTACGCCATCCCACGTACCACATCCCGTACGCCATCCCACGTACCACATCCCGTACGCCATCCCACGTACCACATCCCGTACGCCATCCCACGTACCACATCCCGTACGCCATCCCACGTACCACATCCCGTACGCCATCCCACGTACCACATCCCGTACGCCATCCCACGTACCACATCCCGTACGCCATCCCACGTACCACATCCCGTACGCCATCCCACGTACCACATCCCGTACGCCATCCCACGTACCACATCCCGTACGCCATCCCACGTACCACATCCCGTACGCCATCCCACGTACCACATCCCGTACGCCATCCCACGTACCACATCCCGTACGCCATCCCACGTACCACATCCCGTACGCCATCCCACGTACCACATCCCGTACGCCATCCCACGTACCACATCCCGTACGCCATCCCACGTACCACATCCCGTACGCCATCCCACGTACCACATCCCGTACGCCATCCCACGTACCACATCCCGTACGCCATCCCACGTACCACATCCCGTACGCCATCCCACGTACCACATCCCGTACGCCATCCCACGTACCACATCCCGTATGCCATCCCACGTACCACATCCCGTACGCCATCCCACGTACCACATCCCGTACGCCATCCCACGTACCACATCCCGTACGCCATCCCACGTACCACATCCCGTACGCCATCCCACGTACCACATCCCGTACGCCATCCCACGTACCACATCCCGTACGCCATCCCACGTACCACATCCCATACGCCATCCCACGTACCACATCCCATACGCCATCCCACGTACCACATCCCGTACGCCATCCCACGTACCACATCCCGTACGCCATCCCACGTACCACATCCCGTACGCCATCCCACGTACCACATCCCGTACGCCATCCCACGTACCACATCCCGTACGCCATCCCACGTACCACATCCCGTACGCCATCCCACGTACCACATCCCGTACGCCATCCCACGTACCACATCCCGTACGCCATCCCACGTACCACATCCCGTACGCCATCCCACGTACCACATCCCGTACGCCATCCCACGTACCACATCCCGTACGCCATCCCACGTACCACATCCCGTACGCCATCCCACGTACCACATCCCGTACGCCATCCCACGTACCACATCCCGTACGCCATCCCACGTACCACATCCCGTACGCCATCCCACGTACCACATCCCGTACGCCATCCCACGTACCACATCCCGTACGCCATCCCACGTACCACATCCCGTACGCCATCCCACGTACCACATCCCGTACGCCATCCCACGTACCACATCCCGTACGCCATCCCACGTACCACATCCCGTACGCCATCCCACGTACCACATCCCGTACGCCATCCCACGTACCACATCCCGTACGCCATCCCACGTACCACATCCCGTACGCCATCCCACGTACCACATCCCGTACGCCATCCCACGTACCACATCCCGTACGCCATCCCACGTACCACATCCCGTACGCCATCCCACGTACCACATCCCGTACGCCATCCCACGTACCACATCCCGTACGCCATCCCACGTACCACATCCCGTATGCCATCCCACGTACCACATCCCGTACGCCATCCCACGTACCACATCCCGTACGCCATCCCACGTACCACATCCCGTACGCCATCCCACGTACCACATCCCGTACGCCATCCCACGTACCACATCCCGTATGCCATCCCACGTACCACATCCCGTACGCCATCCCACGTACCACATCCCGTACGCCATCCCACGTACCACATCCCGTACGCCATCCCACGTACCACATCCCGTACGCCATCCCACGTACCACATCCCGTACGCCATCCCACGTACCACATCCCGTACGCCATCCCACGTACCACATCCCGTACGCCATCCCACGTACCACATCCCGTACGCCATCCCACGTACCACATCCCGTACGCCATCCCACGTACCACATCCCGTACGCCATCCCACGTACCACATCCCGTACGCCATCCCACGTACCACATCCCGTACGCCATCCCACGTACCACATCCCGTACGCCATCCCACGTACCACATCCCGTACGCCATCCCACGTACCACATCCCGTATGCCATCCCACGTACCACATCCCGTACGCCATCCCACGTACCACATCCCGTATGCCATCCCACGTACCACATCCCGTATGCCATCCCACGTACCACATCCCGTACGCCACATCCCTCCTTACCCCATACACGACTTCCCATGCACCATACCCCATGCACCACACTCCAGCACCACACCCCATACACCACACCTCATGCACCACACCCCATGCCCTACCCCCATGCCCTAAACCCATGCACCACCTTACCAGGCAGAGAGCTACCGTACAAACCACATCATGTGGACGATGGGTGACGACTTTGCGTACAGCAACGCGGTGACGTGGTTCCGCAACATGGACAAGCTCATCCACTACGTCAACCGCGACGGGCGTGTGAACGCATTCTACTCCACGCCCTCCATCTATGTGGACGCCAAGCACCGCGCCAACGAGTCCTGGCCCCTCAAAACGGGAGACTTCTTCCCGTGAGCTTCTCTTCCCCTCCTTGCCCCCGTCCTCTTCACCCATGAACTGTAATTGTCTTGAACCCCCCTACCCCACCCCTCCCCACTTCGCTTTGCCTTCTTCACTTCATCTCTCTTTGACATGTTCAGCTATTTGTTTCGCTCCCTCCTTCCCTGTGCTGCTCCCATCCTCCGCCCCCCCTTGCATGCAGCTATGCGGACTGCCCCCACTGCTACTGGACGGGGTACTTCTCCTCCCGCCCCGCCTTCAAGCGCTACGTGCGCCACTGCAGCGCGCTGCTCCTCGTACGCCCCGCCCCTGCCCTACCCTGCCCTTCCCAGCCCGCCCTTGCCCCCCCCTCGTCTCTCCCTATCCCGCCCCTGCCCCATTCTGTCCTCCCCTCCCCGCCCCTGCCCCTCCCACTCGCTCGTGCACGCCCCCGCCGCCCGTCAACCATCTCTTGCATGTTTCCTCCTTTCCTTGGACTGGCTCGTTTGTTCTTGCACTTGATACGGCATGCCGTTGCTGCGAGTTCAATGCTTGCAGCTCAAACGCTCCCTCAACTTGTCCTGCAAATCTCCCTTTCCGTCCACTTTGTTCCCTCTTGCCGTGACCCTCTTCCGCCTCCCCTCTCGCCCAACCTTCCTGCGTGCCAGGCTGCCAGGCAAGTAGAGGCCTTGGTGGGGCGAAGCAGGCTGGGGAGAGAATTGGAAGGGGTGGGTGTGGGAGGGGAGGGGCAGGCGTGGGGGGTGGAGGATCTAGAGGAGGCGATGGCGGTGGCGCAGCACCACGACTCGGTGAGCGGCACGGCCAAGCAGCACGTCAACGACGACTACACCATCAGGCTCTACCGCGGGGCCGTCAAGGTGAGCGTTGCGGGGACTGGGCTGCTTTTGACACGCCTTAAATGTGAGCGGCACGGCACGGCGAAGCAGCACGACAACGCCGACTACACGCTGCGACTCTACCGCGGGGCCGCGAAGGTGAGTGCGGGGAGAACTAATCGTGCACGCCTGTCTTGAATCCCGTCTGTGCTTTCCTGTCCTCTTTTGTGGCCCTGTCGAGCTGTTGAGTGGAAGCAAGGAAGCGTGAAGTCAAGTGGGTGCTGCCAGGGATGAGTGAATTTCTTGTCATCGGAGCCCCCTGTGGCGATCACAGGGGGGCATGACAGAGCATCTAATCTTCTCTCTGAGGCATCGTGTGCCCCCAGGCTGCCTTTCCCATACGTGTTCCTGTTTTTCTGGTTCCGTGGTAATGCCTGTGTGATGGGGGCCTCGTGTGCTTTTGCTGGGCTTTGCTGTTATATATCCTCGCCCGCTGCATTAACTTGGTCTCTTAGTTTGGTGTGATGTGCTCATGCATTTCTATGGAATGGTATCCAAACGTCAGTGTGATGTGCATTCCTGTCTCGGTAGCAAGGGCCGTGCTGCCACAGCCAGTGATGAGTGAATTTCTTGTCATCGGAGCCCTCATGAGGGGCCGTGACAGACCCTTATATCCCCTCTGAGGCATCTATCCCGCCCACCCGCCACTCCAGATCCACATCTCGCGTTTCCTTGTTTCTGTTCTTGTGTGACGCCTCAATGAGGCGCCTCAATCTCCGTGCTCGGTGTGGCTTGCTTGCTGGTGATAGCTGTACACGCACACTGCAGCCAAGCCTTGTGTTTGTCTGCTCCGCATGGCTCTGTTGAAAGGGCTGTGTTGAGTCAGTAGGGTGTTGCTGCAAAGCACTTGTGGTGTTGCCAGGGATGAGTGAATTTCTTGTCATCGGAGCTTCCTGTGTGCTCATGCTCTCAGGGGGCCGTGACAGAGCATCTAATCTTCTCTCTGAGGCGCATCATTTACCCGCCAGAAACATTTCACATCCCCTTTGCAGTGGCATATGTCTGTTCCACTCACCTCCCAACCGAGTGGCATGTGGCTCACGGCATTGGTGCATGGTGGATGGATGGGAAGAATCAGAGGATGCACTCAATAATCTCGGTATTAGAAAGAAAAGCTGGTGCTGCTGCCAGGGATGAGTGAATTTCTTGTCATCGGAGCCCCCTGTGGTGATCACAGGGGGGCATGACAGAGCATCTAATCTTCTCTCTGAGGCATGCCCCACAGCACATGCAGCGTTTGGCAGAGCTTTCTTGATCAGATGCGCCGTATGTGCTGAGTGCATGGCACATGTGAGCTCCGTTGTTTATGCCACCATATCTCCTTTAGAAAGGCACGTGTGCGTTTTCAGATGAATAGCAGGGCGAGAAAGATGCCAGGGATGAGTGAATTTCTTGTCATCGGAGCCCCCTGTGATGATCACTGGGGGCCGGGACAGAACATCTAATCTTCTCTCTGAGGCTTGCCACGTGGCACATGCATGCATCATGCAGATGATACTTGTCAGATGAGTCATAGCAGGTGTAGAGATGCTGCCAGGGATGAGTGAATTTCTTGTCATCGGAGCCCCTTGTGGTGATCACAGGGGGCCAGGACAGATCATCTAATCTTCTCTCTGAGGCATTGTGTGGTTCTAGAATGATTCTACCCCGTCTATCATCCACATCAATCATCGTCACCTTGGTTGTGTATGGCAGGGAGCGTATGCAGTTCCAGCCCTTGCTGGTGCATTGATCCCCCACCTCCATCTTCTGCCCGTTCCCAATACCCACCTGCTTGTGACTCTTCAGGCCTCCTCGCTGCTCACACGGGCCATTCGCTACATGATCTCCCGCCAGTCAGACGCTGACACGTGGCGGTCCCAGTCTCTCCTGCAGCAGATGCCACGCTCCCGGCCCATCCGCCCTCCCACCTCGCCCCTCATGCGAGCGCTCAAGAAACGGGGCGCAGCAGCAGCAGCAGAAGAAGAAGAAGCATCACCGGTAGCAGCAGCACTGGAGAACCAAGCAGGCACAAGCAGGCAGGGTCTGAAGCTGAGCTTTGAGCTCGTGAGTGCAGTCATCCTTTGGGCTTCACACTCACACATCGTGCATAACATCATCCCCTTCGCTTTTCTGCTCGTTTTCAGTTGCCTGGGTACTCATCAATCTGTTCTGTTACCAGCAACCGCACATAGCCGTGCTTGCTTCTCCCTTCTGCCCTGCACACTGCTCTTCACCCTCTCTCCTGCCCCAGTGCCCGCTCGCAAACATTTCGTTCTGCCCGCCTTCGCAAACGGATCTTCAGGACGGAAAAGTTCTCGTGAGTGTCCATTTCATGTGTGCGTTGCTGTCATATCTACACATTGCTGTGCTCATGCCTCTTCTTGCAACGCCCTCCTCCGGGGCCTTGCTCTATAATCCATTCTAATGCTGTGTGATGCATGTTGTTGCATCATGATGCTGCTGTGTAATCCATTCCACTGCCTCGTGCTGTGCTGTGCTGTGCTGTGCTGTGCTGTGCTGTGCTGTGCTGTGCTGTGCTGTGCTGTGCTGTGCTGTGCTGTGCTGTGCTGTGCTGTGCTGCGCTGTGCTGTGCTGTGCTGTGCTGCATGCATGCATCAGGTCGTAGCAGTGTACAATCCACTGGCATGGGCGCGCAAGGAGGTCGTCCGATTTCCTGTGAGCCACCCTTACCCTCCTAGACCCTCTTTGCCCATTGCCTCTCACCACTGCCTCCACTCGTCTCACCTTGCATCAGTCTCTCACCAGCTCCATTATAGTTGCAACTCTTTCTCCATCATCACTCTCCCTTCCATTGTCCTCTCCTCATGTTTTTCCCCTTTCTTTCTCTTCTCCTCTCCATTCCTCACCGTTCCTTCTCCCCTTGTTCTTTCCCCCCTCTCCTTCGCCACCTCTTACCGCGTGCCCCATCTTGTCCAGGTGTCAACTGCTGACGTGGAAGTTATGAATGCCAGCGGGGCAATCATCCCCTCCCAAGTCCTTCCAGACACCCTCCTCCTCCCCTCCACCCGTTCCTTCCTCATCCAAGCCTACGCCGGACCTGATGCCGAACCAAACGCTGGGCCGGCCACTGGAGCTAGTGCCGAACCTGGTTCTGCAGCCAGTGCCGAGCCTGGTGGTGCAGGCTCGGAGGCGCTGTCACTAGTGTTCTGGGCGGATGCGCCTCCCCTAGGTATTGCCTCGTACTTCGTGCTGTATAAATATCTTGAAGGCAGAGATCAGGGTGGAGTTAAGGAGGGGATGGGGCAGGAGAAAGCAGGAGATGAGGGTGCGGAGCAGGAGGGTAACTTGGAAGGGAGAGTGGTGGAGGGCGGGGAGGAAGAGGGGAAGGTGATGCAGGAGGCTGAAGAGGAGGAGGAGGATGAGATAGTGATTGGTGGGTGGGCGGAGGGGGAACGGGGCGAGGGCAGCAGCAGCAGTGGCAGCAGTGCGCTGAGGCTCTCCTTCTCCAGGGCGCAAGGGGGCAAGATGACCCGCGCTGTGCTGCTGACGCGGGGTGGAGGGGAAGCAGAGGCGGAGGAAGGGGAAGCAGCAGCAGCGGGGGCTGCAGCAGTGGCAGATGTGGGGTTGGAGTGGGCGTGGTACAATGCGAGTGACGGCAAGGCGAGCAGGGAGGCATCAGGGGCGTACATCTTCCGCCCCTTCTCCTCCGTCCCCGTGCCCATCACCCCGCCCAACGCCACTGCGGTATGGCCTTGCTTATCTGCTCTCTCGTCCCCCTGCTCTCTTGCACCATTTCCACCCCCTCATGCCCTCCACCCTCTGCTCTCTCCTTCCATTCCCTCCCCCACCCCCCTCCCCCCACCGCTCTTTCTGAACCTTACTTCTTCCCAGCCCAGAGCCCACACCATGTGTCTCTCACCACGCTCTCTCTACCCCTCTCTCCCCTTCTCCAGGCATCAGTGCGTGTGGTGCGGGGCGCGCTAGTGGACGAGGTGCATCGCCACGTGGGCATGTATGGCCGCCGCGCCGCAAGCACCTCAACGATCGCATCTCTGCTCTCTCGTCACTTCTCTTCTCTTTGCTTCATCCCTCCCCGCCCCTGCCCCTCCAGGCATCACTGCGGGTGGTGCGAGGGGCACTGGTGGACGAGGTGCACCGCCAGGTGGCGCCCTGGATCCACGAGGTGAGGGGGAAAGGCGGAGAGGGGGGAAGAGTGGGGAGAAGGGTTTTTTTCTCAGGCACCTCAAAGGCAGGTGGTGCCCTGGATCTATGAGGTGAGAGAGGGAGGGGTGCGGGCGGGGAGGCGGGGGATGGAAATAGAGGAATCCGGATCCCCCACTTTCTGTTAAAGTTGAGTTTAGAGACGTCTCAACTGTCTAAACCTCTTTGATCCTCCCCGTCCCTGGCAATTCCTCTCCATCAGTGGGGGCGCTAAGTGATGGTGCTAATTGGGGGCGCTAAGTGATGGCGCTAAGTGGGGGAGCTAAGTGGGGGAGCTAAGTGAGGACTCTAAGTGGCCAAACCTGACATCAAACCTGACGTCAAACCTGACCTCAAACCTGACGTCAAACCTGATGTCAAACCTGAAGTCAAACCTGACCTCAAACCTGACGTCAAACCTGACCTCAAACCTGACGTCAAACCTGAAGTCAAACCTGACGTCAAACCTGACGTCAAACCTGACCTCAAACCTGACCTCAAACCTGACCTCAAACCTGACCTCAAACCTGACGTCAAACCTGACGTCAAGACCTGCACCTCAAACCTGCACCTCAAACCTGCACCTCAAACCTGCACCTCAAACCTGCACCTCAAACCTCACCTCAAACCTGCACCTCAAACCTGCACCTCAAACCTGCACCTCAAACCTGCACCTCAAACCTGACCTCAAACCTGACCTCAAACCTGCACCTCAAACCTGAAGTCAAACCTGACGTCAAACCTGAAGTCAAACCTGACCTCAAACCTGAGGTCAACCTGCACCTCAAACCGGCACCTCAAACCTGCACCTCAAACCGGCACTTCAAACCTGCACCTCAAACCTGCACCTCAAACCTGCACCTCAAACCTGCACCTCAAACCTGACCTCAAACCTGACCTCAAACCTGCACCTCAAACCTGCATGTCAAACCTGCACCTCAAACCTGCACCTCAAACCTGACCTTAAACCTGCACCTCAAACCTGACCTCAAACCTGCACCTCAAACCTGCACATCAAACCTGCACCTCAAACCTGCACCTCAAACCTGCACCTCAAACCTGCACCTCAAACCTGCACCTCAAACCTGACCTTAAACCTGCACCTCAAACCTGACCTCAAACCTGCACCTCAAACCTGCACATCAAACCTGCACCTCAAACCTGCACCTCAAACCTGCACCTCAAACCTGACCTCAAACCTGACCTCAAACCTGACCTCAAACCTGACGTCAAACCTGCACCTCAAACATGCACCTCAAACCTGCACCTCAAACCTGCACCTCAAACCTGCACCTCAAACCTGCACCTCAAACCTGCACCTCCTGCACCTCAAACCTGCACCTCAAACCTGACCTCAAACCTGACCTCAAACCTGCACCTCAAACCTGAAGTCAAACCTGACGTCAAACCTGAAGTCAAACCTGACCTCAAACCTGACCTCAAACCTGCACCTCAAACCGGCACCTCAAACCTGCACCTCAAACCTGCACCTCAAACCGGCACTTCAAACCTGCACCTCAAACCTGCACCTCAAACCTGCACCTCAAACCTGCACCTCAAACCTGACCTCAAACCTGACCTCAAACCTGCACCTCAAACCTGCACCTCAAACCTGCACCTCAAACCTGCACCTCAAACCTGCACATCAAACCTGCACCTCAAACCTGCACCTCAAACCTGCACCTCAAACCTGACCTCAAACCTGACCTCAAACCTGACCTCAAACCTGACCTCAAACCTGCACCTCAAACATGCACCTCAAACCTGCACCTCAAACCTGCACCTCAAACCTGCACCTCAAACCTGCACCTCAAACCTGCACCTCACACCTGCACCTCGAACCTGCACCTCAAACCTGACGTCAAACCTGCACCTCAAACCTGCACCTCAAACCTGTACCTCAAACCTGCACCTCAAACCTGCACCTCAAACCTGCACCTCAAACCTGACCTCAAACCTGACATCAAACCTGACGTCAAACCTGACCTCAAACCTGACGTCAAACCTGCACCTCAAACCTGCACCTCAAACCTGCACCTCAAACCTGCACCTCAAACCTGACCTTAAACCTGCACCTCAAACCTGACCTCAAACCTGCACCTCAAACCTGCACATCAAACCTGCACCTCAAACCTGCACCTCAAACCTGCACCTCAAACCTGACCTCAAACCTGACCTCAAACCTGACCTCAAACCTGACCTCAAACCTGCACCTCAAACATGCACCTCAAACCTGCACCTCAAACCTGCACCTCAAACCTGCACCTCAAACCTGCACCTCAAACCTGCACCTCACACCTGCACCTCAAACCTGCACCTCAAACCTGACGTCAAACCTGCACCTCAAACCTGCACCTCAAACATGCACCTCAAACCTGCACCTCAAACCTGCACCTCAAACCTGCACCTCAAACCTGCACCTCAAACCTGCACCTCCTGCACCTCAAACCTGCACCTCAAACCTGACCTCAAACCTGACCTCAAACCTGCACCTCAAACCTGAAGTCAAACCTGACGTCAAACCTGAAGTCAAACCTGACCTCAAACCTGACCTCAAACCTGCACCTCAAACCGGCACCTCAAACCTGCACCTCAAACCTGCACCTCAAACCGGCACTTCAAACCTGCACCTCAAACCTGCACCTCAAACCTGCACCTCAAACCTGCACCTCAAACCTGACCTCAAACCTGACCTCAAACCTGCACCTCAAACCTGCACCTCAAACCTGCACCTCAAACCTGCACCTCAAACCTGCACATCAAACCTGCACCTCAAACCTGCACCTCAAACCTGCACCTCAAACCTGACCTCAAACCTGACCTCAAACCTGACCTCAAACCTGACCTCAAACCTGCACCTCAAACATGCACCTCAAACCTGCACCTCAAACCTGCACCTCAAACCTGCACCTCAAACCTGCACCTCAAACCTGCACCTCACACCTGCACCTCGAACCTGCACCTCAAACCTGACGTCAAACCTGCACCTCAAACCTGCACCTCAAACCTGTACCTCAAACCTGCACCTCAAACCTGCACCTCAAACCTGCACCTCAAACCTGACCTCAAACCTGACATCAAACCTGACGTCAAACCTGACCTCAAACCTGACGTCAAACCTGCACCTCAAACCTGCACCTCAAACCTGCACCTCAAACCTGCACCTCAAACCTGACCTTAAACCTGCACCTCAAACCTGACCTCAAACCTGCACCTCAAACCTGCACATCAAACCTGCACCTCAAACCTGCACCTCAAACCTGCACCTCAAACCTGACCTCAAACCTGACCTCAAACCTGACCTCAAACCTGACCTCAAACCTGCACCTCAAACATGCACCTCAAACCTGCACCTCAAACCTGCACCTCAAACCTGCACCTCAAACCTGCACCTCAAACCTGCACCTCACACCTGCACCTCAAACCTGCACCTCAAACCTGACGTCAAACCTGCACCTCAAACCTGCACCTCAAACCTGCACCTCAAACCTGCACCTCAAACCTGCACCTCAAACCTGCACCTCAAACCTGCACCTCAAACCTGCACCTCACACCTGCACCTCAAACCTGCACCTCAAACCTGCACCTCAAACCTGCACCTCAAACCTGCACCTCAAACCTGCACCTCAAATCTGCACCTCAAACCTGCACCTCAAACCTGACCTCAAACCTGACCTCAAACCTGACCTCAAACCTGACATCAAACCTGACGTCAAACCTGACGTCAAACCTGACGTCAAACCTGACGTCAAACCTGACGTCAAACCTGCACCTCAAACCTGCACCTCAAACCTGCACCTCAAACCTGACCTCAAACCTGCACCTCAAACCTGCACCTCAAACCTGCACCTCAAACCTGTACCTCAAACCTGCACCTCAAACCTGCACCTTAAACCTGCACCTCAAACCTGCACCTCAAACCTGACCTCAAACCTGACCTCAAACCTGACCTCAAACCTGACCTCAAACCTGACCTCAAACCTGACCTCAAACCTGCACCTCAAACCTGACCTCAAACCTGACCTCAAACCTGCACCTCAAACCTGACCTCAAACCTGACCTCAAACCTGCACCTCAAACCTGCACCTCAAACCTGCACCTCAAACCTGTACCTCAAACCTGCACCTCAAACCTGCACCTCAAACCTGCACCTCAAACCTGCACCTCAAACCTGACGTCAAACCTGCACCTCAAACCTGACATCAAACCTGACCTCAAACCTGACCTCAAACCTGCACCTCAAACCTGACCTCAAACCTGACCTCAAACCTGCACCTCAAACCTGCACCTCAAACCTGCACCTCAAACCTGCACCTCAAACCTGCACCTCTGACCTGACGTCAAACCTGCACCTCAAACCTGCACCTCAAACCTGCACCTCAAACCTGCACCTCAAACCTGCACCTCAAACCTGCACCTCAAACCTGCACCTCAAACCTGACCTCAAACCTGACCTCAAACCTGACCTCAAACCTGCACCTCAAACCTGACCTCAGACCTGACCTCAAACCTGATATCAAACCTGACATCAAACCTGACCTCAAACCTGACCTCAAACCTGACGTCAAACCTGCACCTCAAACCTGCACCTCAAACCTGCCCCTCAAACCTGACCTCAAACCTGACCTCAAACCTGACCTCAAACCTGCCCTCAAACCTGCACCTCAAACCTGCACCTCAAACCTGACCTCAAACCTGACCTCAAACCTGTACCTCAAACCTGCACCTCAAACCTGCACCTCAAACCTGCACCTCAAACCTGCACCTCAAACCTGCACCTCAAACCTGCACCTCAAACCTGCACCTCAAACCTGCACCTCAAACCTGCACCTCAAACCTGCACCTCAAACCTGCACCTCAAACCTGACCTCAAACCTGACATCAAACCTGACGTCAAACCTGACGTCAAACCTGACGTCAAACCTGCACCCTCAAACCTGCACCTCAAACCTGCACCTCAAACCTGCACCTCAAACCTGACCTCAAACCTGACCTCAAACCTGACCTCAAACCTGCACCTCAAACCTGCACCTCAAACCTGCACCTCAAACCTGTACCTCAAACCTGCACCTC